CATGTCGCCAGGGTGATTCAACTTACAGATTTCTCCTTGGAAGGCTGAAGGGGCTTTGTAAGAGACGACAGCGGCTTTCCTTTTCCAGACGCCTGGACACCCGCGCGGTTGCACTTGAAATAATCAATCTGATCAAAGTCAGCAATTGCAATCTCTAAGAAACAGCGTTAAACGCACCAGGGTAGACCTTGGCCTCAGACCCTCGTATGCCGCAGTCGCAAAGTTGCTGGCAGTCAAGGAGCTGAGCTTCCGCGCAAACTCATCCGGTGATGTCTGCGGTCCAGTCGGATATTTTCTTCCCAAGGGCGGCAGCTCAGGGCCAGTGGGAGAGTGCACATCAGGCGAACCAATCGCCTGGTCCTCCACGTTCTCAACATTCTCCAACAGTGACCTCGCGAGAGGACTTCTACCAAGGGGCGCCTCATCGTCCTCCAAATCCTCCAATTGTGTTCTTGACAGTTTCGTACTCAATCCGCGGGCCGGCAGCGGCAACTTCATGGGAATCGCATGAACAACGCCCCTCTTCCTCTTTTTTGGCCCGTCCTCGCTACCAAAAGGCGACAGCAGGCTCGAAGTCGATGTCGGTGAAATCGGTTCCGGAGCTCCCAGACTGGATCGTGGTGGCGTCTGCTGTGCGTTAATCGCAGGCCCGCCCATCTCGGCGAGGACCGGCCTCGAGCTCTGAGAGGACATGCCGCGCGGTGTGAAGAACCGCGTGAACTTCCGAGGCGTCAGGATGGCCTTGCGTTTCTCCTTTCGAATGTTTCGCGGGGGTGGTGATGAGGGGAGCGTGGGCGAGGAGGCGGGGACGAGACCATCGCTCGGCGGCGGGCTGGCCATGCCGCCGTGGTAAACCATGACGAATGTGGATTTATTAGGCTTTTCGTGTAAGTCGTCGGTATACGTTGAAAGTAAACAAACAACGGACAATAAAGAGAGTGTTTCCAGCGTAAAATCTGTCGTTCAGAGTCTAGGGAAGAAAGCTTCAATCGTGAGATTGACTGTGTGCTGGGGTGGTGAATGGCAGGGCCTGAGGGATGGGGCGGAGGAGGCGAGCTCGTGTCTGACGTCGGGTCTTTACCAGATTCAACCACCAAAAATGTACCCTCAACGCGCGATGGTGTCGCGCGCGCGCGCGTGTCGACGCGGAAGACCCACCCGTGGCCGGGGTTCCTGTTTAATTGATTTCTGGGTGGTTTCCCACTCCGGATTCGCGGGTCCAATCAGATGAGAAGGGCCCGCATGTCAAAGCTCCAGGCCAGGGACGACCCACCTCGCTCGCATTATCTCCACGTGACCGTTATCGGGTCTCAAAAATTTCGAGAATTTTTGGCCATTCAGGCGGCGGGGGCCTTTCTTCAAGGGTCGGTTTCTTCACTGCAGAGCGAAGCGGACGGACGGTACGCCCAAAAGTTTGGATTTCTCTCGAGTTCCGCCGTCGCCGCCGCCCCGTTCGACAAGATGGCAATCCAGAAGAAGCACGGAAAAGGACGTTTGGATAAGTGGTACAAGCTTGCCAAGGAGAAGGGATACCGTGCCAGAGCTGCGTTCAAGCTGATCCAGCTGAACAAGAAGTATGGCTTCTTGGAGAAGAGCAGGGTCGTCGTCGATCTTTGCGCTGCGCCAGGCGTAAGTTTGTTTTCGCGAGAAAAAACATGTTCGAATGTCATTTTTGCGTGCAGTATCTAACAAGCGCATGTCTAGTCATGGTGTCAAGTCGCAGCCGAGACATGTCCCGTCGGCGCGTTGATCGTCGGTGTCGATTTAGCCCCCATCAAGCCGATCCCCAAGGTCATTACCTTCCAGAGCGATATCACCACCGAAAAATGCCGAGCCACGATCCGCTCGCACCTCAAGACCTGGAAGGCCGACTGTGTCCTCCACGATGGTGCGCCCAACGTCGGTACCGCCTGGAACCAGGACTCCTTCAACCAGGCCGAGCTGGTGTTGCAGTCCATGAAGCTGGCGACGGAGTTCCTGGTCGAGGGCGGCACGTTCGTGACCAAGGTCTTCCGCTCCAAGGACTACAACCCGCTGCTGTGGGTGTTCAACCAGCTCTTCACAAAGGTCGAGGCCACCAAGCCGCCGTCGTCGAGAAACGTGTCTGCCGAGATCTTCGTCGTCTGCAAGGGCTACAAGGCGCCCAAGCGCATCGACCCCCGGTTCCTCGACCCCCGCGCCGTCTTCGCCGAGCTGAAGGACGCGGCGCCGAACAACGAGGCCAAGGTGTACAACCCCGAGGTGAAGAAGCGCAAGCGTGAGGGTTACGAGGAGGGCGACTACACGCAGTTCAAGGCCGTCTCGGCCAGCGAGTTCATCCAGACGGTTGACCCGATTGCGATCCTCGGCAGCGCGAACCAGCTGTCGTTCGATCAGCCGAACAACGGCGACGTTGCGCTGGCGGCTCTGGACAAGCTCCCCGAGACCAACGAGGAGATCCGCAGGTGCTGCGCCGATTTGAAGGTTCTTGGAAGAAAAGAGTTTAAGATGCTGCTCAAGTGGCGTCTCAAGGTCCGCGAGATCTTTGGCTTCCCCACCAAGAAGACGGAGAAGGCCAAGTCTCTGCAGGAGCAGGTCGCTGGCGAGGAGGTGGCCGAGGTCGAGGACATGGACGAGGAGCTCCGGATCCAGGAGGAGCTGGAGGCGCTCAAGAACAAGGACGACTCCAAGAAGAGGAAGGAGAGGAGGAAAGAGAACGAGAAGAAGCAGAAGGACATCGTGCGCATGCAGCTCAACATGGTGGCGCCCATGGATATCGGTATGGAGCAGTCCGGACCCCTCGGCCCGGACTCCATGTTCGCGCTCAAGACGGTCGACAAGGCCGGCGGCGTGAACAAGATCGCCAAGGGTAGGATGGCCATCCTCAAGGAGAACGAGAAGAAGAAGCAGGAGCAGGATTCCGGAATCTCGTACGGGTCCGACGACGACAGCGAAGACGAGGCCGAGGACCGCCTCGAGCGTGAGCTGGACGGCATGTACGACCAGTGGAAGGAGCGCAAGTCGGCAGCGGATGCCAAATGGCGGGCCAAGCGCGCGCGTGAGGAGCACAACGACGAGGAGTGGGAGGGTGTCTCAGCCGACGAGCAGAGTGACAGCGATGAGGAGTTTGAAATCGAATTGGGCAGCGACGACGACTCTGACGAGGACGAGGACGACGGCGACAAGCCGCTCGTCACCGACTTGGACAACACCGCGGAAGACGGCGACCTGTCGAAGCGCGCGAGGAATTTCTTCAGCCAGGACATCTTCAAGGATATTCCTGGCGTACTCGACGAGCCCGAGGATGACGGCATGGACGGCGTCGAATACACCAACGGAGCCGACTCCGATGAGGAGGAGGCCAGGCCTTCTAAGAAGGCCAAGAAGGAGTCCAAGGCCCAAAAGGCCAAGGACGAGAAGAAGAAGGCCAAGGAGGACAAGAAGAAGGCTGTTGAGAAGGAAGAGGAGGACGAGTCCAGCGAGAGCGAAGACGACGGCGGCTTCGAGGTTGTCAAGCACAACGAGGAGGACTGGGAGAACCAGGAGAAGCGCAAGGCGGACGGCAGACTAGGTAAGCTCTCTCTCTCCCATCACCCCTCCCCCAGAACTCATGCTAACCCTCCGCCAGACATCGACATCATCACCGCCGAGGCAATGACGCTCGCGCACCAGCTCGCGACGGGCCAAAAGACGAAGCACGACGTCATCGACGACGGCTTCAACAAGCACGCGCTCAAGGACCGCGATGGGCTGCCGGACTGGTTCATCGACGACGAGGGCCGGCACGACAAGCCGCACAAACCCATCACCAAGGCGGCGGCGGCGGCGATCCGCGAGAAGCTGCGCGCGTACAACGCGCGCCCGATCAAGAAGGTGCGCGAGGCCAAGGCGCGCAAGAAGTTCAAGGCCGCGCAGCGCCTGGAGAAGCTCAAGAAGAAGTCGGACCTGCTCGCCAACGAGGAGGGCATGACGGAGAAGGAGAAGGCGGAGAGCATCGCCAAGATGATGGCCAAGGCCGGCAAGGTGAAGCGCAGGCCCAAGCCGACGCTCGTCATCGCCAAGGGTGAGTTTTTCTTCAGAAATTCTGCAGAAATTGCGTCGCTAACGTGCTGCTGCAGGTGTCAACCGTGGTGTCAAGGGTCGTCCCAAGGGCGTCAAGGGACGCTACACCATTGTGGACTCGAGAATGAAGAAGGATCTGAGGGCGCAGAAGAGGATAGCCAAGAAGAAGAAATAGTCGTCGCTGCAGTTGTTTTGTTAATCATACCCCGAATCTTAGATGGCGAGGAAAATGATAGAGTTCATGGTAATCAAAAAGCAAATATGGGAACGGAAAGACATCACCACGAGTATTTGACGATTGTGTTTCTGTTTCTGTCTGTCTTGCTCGTTCGAAAGACCCTGGCCGTGTCTCTGGGTGATCATCTGAATCGTCATGTCCACGAGATGGGATGGACGACAGTGCGTGGACGAAGCATGTCTCTGAGGGCCTCAAGACATGCATGTTGTGAGAGGTTCTTGAATGCTGCCAAGTCGAGCAAGTTGGGATATAATCATACTTCACATTATCATAAGTCTTGTAACTAGATAACTCATCCCGCTGCCCTGAAAAGCGTACCTCTATCGACGGATGAAGGGAATCATAAGTAAAAAGGACAAATGCCGCCGCCAAAATAACAAACAATCAAAAACCCTATGCCAGGCACCATGGTTCGTACTTTACAGCATCCTGAACAAGATGGATGGACGACGCGCAGAAACAAACGCAAACCTCCCGTCTTTTTTTCCAGGAACGTCTAGCCCCCTCGTCGAGGTGTTCCCCTGCATCTTGACATCGTACAAGTGTTCGGTATTTACCGCCGTCCGCAAAGAACCCATGAAAAATAATAACCAAGTAACGCCGTTTCTCCTTCTGCGAGCAAGCCGTAAATGCAAAGTTGCCGCTCCGTCGTGTGAGTACATCGATTCGTACGCTTCTCCGGCCATCGTGTGGTTGGAGAGGAGAGTCTGTTCGCGCCCGTCTATTCGTCCTCTACTTTGATCCTCGGTCCTTGGTCAGGGGCTCGCGGACCCAGCATCCAATCCTGCATGGCCAGCCACTCGCTCCAGCTGGACTCTGCGCCTTGGATCTCCTTCTCGGTGACGTTTTGCAGGGGTCTGAGGAAGGGGACCTGCTGCTCGCCGTCCATGTCGTAATGCGTCTTGACTTTGAGCCAAGTTTCGCTCTTGGCTGCGAACATGTAGTTGCGACGCTCGGCTTCGTGCATGGGCCCAATGCCGGCCATCCAGTCGTCGCCAAAGAAGCCGTGTAACACGGCGGGATAGTCGAAGCCGGTGGCCACCAGTCGGCGAACATACGGCGTCAGTGTCGTGTAGGTGGCTGACGGTAACTGGGCGCCAAGCGGCAACTTCCCAGCTGCCCGGGCGGTAGACGGAGTTGAAGGCCCGGGCCCGGCAGGGGATGAGGGCCCGGTCTGCTTTGAAGAGAGGACCGGGTTGTGCGGCTTCTGGAAGGGCAGCTGGATGTTGACGAAGGCAGCCACTGCCTGAATGGGCCCTGTGTACTGTGCGTGATCCAGAAAATAGCGTAGGCAAGACTGGAACTTTGGATACCACTCGAAGATGTCGAATTGAGACTCTTGGAACGGCTGCAGAGGAGGCCCGTTGAGCTGCGGTGCACCTGGATGCCCGGTGAAAGAGTGGCCTACCTGTGCATACTGGAACTGGAACGACGATGAGCCAGCGGATGAGCCGCTTGAGTGATGGTAGGCCATGAGGTCTCGGGGCAGGATGCTGCTGCTGATTTGTGGCAGAGTACCGAGAGGGATTCGGAATTCGATTTTTTTCTGATCGGCTCGTCGGTTGTGTGTCGGCCGGGTCAAGAGACGTCAAATAACGAATGACAGACGGGGCGACGAGGGTGGGTAGACGGGTTCGGGACAATCGACTAAAGCGTCAGAATGAGACCGAGTCGGGAAGACAGATAGCAGAGCGGCCCAATCCTGCAACCTCACGTGTGGAAGTGTCTAATAACACGATGTCCGACGAGGCTGCAAGTGGCGGTTGCGATGTGTCTTCAGGCCCTGGAACGACTCAGAGTTGACAGAGAATTTGAGAGAAGTATGGTTGGAGGCACAGATCTGACGCGGATCAGGCAAGGACGACATGCGGGACGAGGAGGAGAAGGAGGAGCAGGACCACACGCGGAGCCCGACATGCATATAGATGGAGTCGGAGAAGCAAAGACGGCAGCCAACTGAATAAGGGTACGGTACCTTACTCGGACCAGGGGCTGTGTCTTTTTTTTTTTTTTCTTCCGCTTGGAGACAACGGGAGAGGCGGACAGCGGACAAGAGGAGACGTTGGTGACGGGATCTTGACGGGATGCCAGATGGGTTTAATATACTCTGGCTAATGTGCACAGAGTGTACGGAGGCTTATGTATGTGTAAATGGTCCCTTGTTATTTTTTCCCTCCCCCTTCCTCCTTGACGTTGAAAATGGACGGGGCGCCCACCCCATGGGACAGGTACTTAGGTTGATAGGAAAGGAAGGGGAGCAAGGAAGAAAAAAAAAAAGGGAAGAGAGAAGCGGAATGAGAGAGGTCGGAGGGTACCTCTGTACACGCTACTAGCTGCAGCAGGGGCAGAACCGAGAGAGGGTACCTACATCAGAAAAAAAAGTGACCAGGTCACCGTACCGTACCGTACCGCTCCTTGGGTTGAGATCGCGTCTGCACCCACGGCACGCCAATCCGGTGAGGCAGGAGAGGGCAGAACATACACACACACACACACACACACATGCATACCACCAGAAGAAAGAAAAAAAAAAAAAAAAAAAGAAGGCGAGTCGGTGGACGCGATGTATGTGTGTGTGTGTGTGTGTGTGTGTGTGTGTGTGCTGTGATGTGCTGTGCTGCGTGTGTGTAGTGTGTGTGCCTGTGTACCGCTACCGCTTCCCGTCCACTTCCCACTCGGTCCGTGGGTGAGGAAATCAGCTGAGGGAAGTACACATGGACAAGAGGTGCGGTGCGGACAGGCGTGAGAGATGCGGCCAATATAGTCGGCGGACGTCTCGCAAGTAGTCAGGAATCAAAAAGAATAGGTATCAGCCAAGCACCAAGGCACGGTAGACCGGTCGGTAGGCTGGCCGGTAGGTTTGGGATAGCGCGTTGCCATCCCGTTGATAGTGTAGCTAAAAAGGTGGGAAGTGGCTAAAGTGAGGTTGTGGGAGGTTAGTCGTTGGCGCAGGTCAGGTAAGTCAGGTAAGGCTTCATGACTTTTGCTTGACCGAGTGTGCGCGCAATGGGTGTTTCGCCAGGGAGGCGTGAGAGTTGGACAAAGATGGGATGGGGGACGGGGGACGGGGATGGGAGGACTCGGTGACGGCAGCAACCAGACTAGGGGACTGGACTGGACTGGGAGGCGTGTGGGTAAGGTATCTGGGGGTGACCGGCTGATGATTGGCGCGAGGGGCAGGGGCGGCGCCGGCTTTCTCAGGGTCTGATCTGAGGTGGTGTTGGTGAGAGTGTGGAAATAGTGTTTGCGCCGGCTTGTCCGTCGTCGTCAACATCGGACGAGATGATGGCACGGAAGAGTGGAGGTGGAGCCCACAGTTGGCGGTAAGGATGCGATGCGATGCTGGTGTGTTGCTTGTGCTCGTTGTGGACGGTGAGAGGATGGACATCCATCCGTTGTCAAGTGAAGGTGGATAATGATACAAGCGGAAGCGAAGACTAGGTGCTTCAGCTCTTGGGTTGACGATGGCGGGTAATGCCACCGCCTTGGACAAGCTGCTTGGTTAGCCAAGACGTCGAGGAATGCAAGACAAGACGACCTTGACGAGATCATAGACATGAAGGCAGGGCATTCCGATCAGCAGGGCCAGAGGGGAGCCCGAGTTCGAGGAACCATGTCAGACAGAGAGAGACAGGCACACAGGCCAGAGCTAGAACATCTCAGGTCGGGGCAAAGCCGAAGAAAATATGGATCGTTATGTGCAATATCTGGGTGGTGACATCCCGTCAGCCGCTCGGCGGAGGCGGTTCGAGACGTGGACGTGGAGATGGCCATGGTCATGAGATGGCAGGGAAGTGATAAGGTGGTGTCGACTCGGGGACTTAGGCGCGTAAGAGTCAATATCGAGCCTAGCCCCGGGCCTGCTGATTCTGCGAACAATTATGCTCCAGACAGAGGAAGAAAGAAGCCGCCTTGACGATAGATAGTTTGTAGTACGAGCAAGTACCGTACCTAAGGTAAAGAAAGTCAAGATGGGCAGGAACAGGTACGGGTAGGTGAGCACGGGCGGTTGCCCAGTCCATGGAATGGGGCACCGTCTGGCCATGGCTCACCGCGTCCGTGGTCTCTAAAGTGCAGCCCAGCAGTACCTTGCCTGCTCTGCCTGTAGATGTATTAGATGCCGTGCGCCGCGATGCGGGTGTGGTGCAGGGACGTGCCCGCGGTCATCATCGGAGCCAACGCCGGCAGGGAGGCCATTGGCCCGTTGAGAGTGAGTGGGTAAAGTTAAGGTGAGATGCTGCACCGGAGGAGGATGGGAATCTAAACAGCGAGATGACAATGGAAATTCAGCCGGACAGGGCAGTTTCCCAAACGGTCAGCACCTAACCACTCGCCCGGGTTTGTGGCGGACGATGAGGCCAGTACACCTACCTACCTTCGAGTAGGTAGGCAGGTACGAAGTCGGGTATGGGCATGGAACCGACTTCAACTGCGAGTGAGGTTGTTCCTGAGTAAGGTATTCGTACTTACCATGTAATGAATATAGGTAGGTCACGAAGGCAGGTAGGTACCTACCTAAGGTACCTACATTAAGGCAGGCATGGAAGGAAGTGAGAAGGGGGCGTGGATTGAGACCGTCCATGTCTTTTTTTTTTTTCTTTCCTTCTCGGACCTAGACCTGGACCTAGGCCATCTCCTCTCGTACGAACACGCGCCACATCCTCATCCTCGGGACCAACCACACGCACTTCTCAATAACCTACGAGTACCCGTACCTCACCCGACTCCGGCTGAAGCAAGGAAGCCAACATGAACAATGAGGGAGGCGGCTGCCAGTTTCGTCCGCGATCTCGTCCCCGTCCCTGCCGCAGGGGCCCCTGCCTGCCACCTGGACGATTGCTGGGCTGCAATTGAGAAAAGGAAGGAAAAAGAAAAGAAATCTGCAGAAAAATCGAGACAGGTCCAGTGTCGGCGGCCACTCATGCACCTTCAAGGGCCATCATCGTCAGCAGTGTCCCTACTTGCGTGTTACCCGACTGCTACATTGAAATCTGGCAGGGAAGACACTCCCTCTTCCTCTCTCTGCGTCCATGTGTGCGTGAGTGCCCTCCGCCTCCCTCCCCACCGACAGACAGTCGTTACCTTATTGACGAAGCACGCCTCACACAGCCTTGACAAGTCAGATCTTGGGCATCAGTGGACCCTGCCTCTGACAGCCTCCCAACGCCGCCGCCCATGAGAATGCCCCCGTGCCTTCATTTCTCCGTACGATCAGCTCTCTTCTGTGTCTCGTGCAGCATCTCATCTTGTCGTTCTGGACTCGTTTTCTCCATCGCCAAGACTTCCGTATTTCTCGGGATACCTGAGGTATTGTTGCGTCTACAATGGCCGGGACGTAGACAGGAGGAGTAAATCTCGGGGCTCGCCTACATCTCGCCTCCTGGGCCAATCTACCCAACCCCCCAAGACTGCGAAGCAGCATATTCGTTTTTCTCAACTCCTTAGGGCGTTAACTGACGGGATATCTCGACAACTCACAACCCGACGGGCAAGCGATCAGGGCCAAGTGAGGCCCATGGAGCAAACGCGACGGCGAAGCAGCCAATGTTTCCAGCCCTTGGCGCGAGACGTGGACGCAAGTGGTGGCTTTCCCGGCTTGCGCCAGCGTCGGCATCACTCCTGCCCTGGGCTGGCCGTGTGCTTTCTTTTTCGACGGGCGCCCATCAATTACTTTAGGATGGATGGGGCACCCACTCGTGTCTCCCCTATGAGGTGGATTCAACCAGTCACATTTCCTCACATCTCGAGAATTTGGACGATGCCCGACAGCGAGAAGTGATGATATGACCCTGACCAAGGTGGACGTCGTCATCTACCGGGACGCATCCGGACAACCAGGGGACGGAGATGGTCTCTAATCGGCGAAAAGAGCGTGTTTGTCTGCGAATGCGAAATTCGTTTATCTTGTAATACGCAGATTGAGATTCAGATCCTCAGGGGGTGGGGAGGCAGTTGAGATTCCGTCCTCGTTATCGGCACGACGACGAAGAAGACCAACAACACGCATCGAAGGCAAAGGTGGTCGTGATCTAGGTAAGCGCCACAGCAGCTTTCAGGTACTCGGTACATTGACTGGCATTCCCGTTTAAGGACGGGACGGTTTGTGGAGACAACTGGCAAGGGCCTGGACCGCGCTTACCTAACACGAAGATCTGATGTCGGAGGTAAGGAAACCCATGCCGTCCCTCAGCGCTAAGCCAGGCAGTGGCACCCCGAATTCCGCGTCCCAATCATTTGGCGGACATGCACATCTTATCAAGCACGACGACAACGTCATGCAAAGAGGACAACCTTTGGGGCTCTTTTCTTCCTCCGTCAGTACCAATCATCTCGCAGCTTATGCAAGCTCGATCGGAAGTGTGCGGGCCACAGTCCTCTGTTCGTATCCCGGGCTTCAGGGCAATGCTCAGGAAGCGCTGGTAGCAGTATCAGGACGAAGGGAAAATTCGCCTACGAGTCAAGGTGACACAGCATAACGACCCCTCCGATATTTCCTCCAGTGCCCTGCTTCCTTGTCCAGCGTCAACGGCAACCCCCGCTCGTACAGATAGCTGCGAAGAAAGGCTTCAACGACGTCCTCGTGCAGGGGTCGGGCATCCCCTGTTCCGGCCGAGCTAGACGACCAGGAACCACCCTCAACTCGGAATTCCTCACCCGGCCTTCGACCAACAACCACTAGTTGTCTCCTACACCTGTGCTGTTTACCAGGCAAGGAATACGCCACGCCTCGCACGCTCTTCCTATCGTCCAGTCGCCGCATTCTCAGGCGAAAGGCAACGACGTCTAATGGATGCAAGTTAGAGTGGGATGAACTGGTGGCCCAGCCGACTGAGACATTCTCAACTTGTCAACGCTGTTCAGTGGCCAGAATTCGCACCTTTTTAGGACCATCTCCGAGACCTCATCCTGCCCACGCCCTTCACTAGCTAGATCTATCTCACTTTAGGCCATCCATATTCCCGATTTCACGCCTATTCCGCCCTGCCGCAGGGTCCAGCTCAATCCGTTTACACCCCCCTACTGGATCGCTGATTCCAAATACTCCAGACTTGTTCATCAACGTTTATGTCATTGTTTCTCTCTGACAGAAATCTCCATCTTTCAATTCAACTGCTTTGCAAATCTACCAGAGGCGCTGTCGTCTTCCCTTCCCTTCCCCAGGGGGCTGGCAGCCGCCGTCGCCATATTCCAGACGACTTGGCTAGCGATGCTTCGGAAGGGGACCTACCGAGACCTTTAGCCTTCAACCCTCGTCGACTATCTGCTGCCCGTAGTGACGGCACATTGTGGAACTGCAGTTGATCTTCTGTGCATCATGGGGACGATGACCGCCCAAGACTCGAAACAGGCGCGACGCTCAGAGTTGTTGTGGCGCCTCCCGGTTTAATTCTCCGACCTCAGCTCATCGCGCTCGATTGCTCTTTGGCCCCGGTCCAGCGAAAATCGTCGGTGTCAGCTCACTCCGTCAGATTAGATTTGGTCTTCCAGAATAGCTCGCCATTAGGTTGCGCAGATATTCCAAGGCGTTCCTGGGTTGCCCCTCCTACTACCCAGCCAGAGATACAAATATAGATGGGACGACCAAAGCCACCTCACCGTTCGTCTAAGACAAACGATCCTTGGTAGCCAAGTGCACAGACTAGCGCCACGCTACAAGTCAGAGCGGCCTAGCATCGCGGGAGCGATCTACAGGAACATCAGACAGCCGCTTTGCAGATTCTTCTGCTCAGCTCGACGAAAAGGCTGCCCATCATGAGGGACGCCTGGATTCTCAGTATCATGGTGGCTGGAAAAGAGCCCCAGGACTCACTTCCAAGATAATGACGATTACTTACAAATTCATGACAATCTAGAAGCCACACCATATCCAGACTTCGCACAGAGAGCCGGGTCTAGGTGACACTCTGTTGAATAAATCCGCCTTCTCTTGGCTTACTCGGAGACTAATGCCAGATAACTGTCGACGAGATGATCTCGGGCCTGCTTTGGGACGTCCACCAGCACACCAGGCACTGTTATCGCCACCCCTGTTGTCGGATGACCGCCCGTCTCCCCGCAAACAAAAAGTTCAGCGGTGACAGGGAGACGCTGCCGCATCTGAGAGGCATGCAAGTAGCCGACGAAGGATGCGCCAATCAGGTCTTCAATATTTGCACTCGAATACAATGCAAGGCTTGACCGAATTGCCTCACTGGGACATTCGTCTTGGTGGCAGGCTTTCCAGTTCGTGCTGCTACATGGATTGTGCAAATGGCGGCAACCGGTGAGATCTCGGGGTCTCGAATCTACGCGCTGCATCGTTCCAGTCTGACGGTAACTTCGGGGATCTGCACAATCTGCATTCCATTCCATGAGGGACGCCTCAGCTTACACCGCATCATAGACTTGCTCAAAGTGGAGTACAGCCTCCGAGCATCGCTCATGCAGGAGGCTGCACTAGAAAGACGACAATGTGTGGAAACACCAAGAAACACGGGCCATGGTGGCGATCACTTGTTTCCCTCCAGCATGGCGTTCACTGCCATGCATCATGCTGTGCTGGTCGTCAAGAGTCAGCGAAGATAGGAAGCACGAACACCTTAACGTTCGTAGTCGTCATGATGTTGGTCTCTGACAGACCTTCGGAAATCTTGAGTCGTTTTGTCTCGGTTTCTGGCCACCTCGGCGTGGCCGCGGATTATCCCCATGAGGCTCTGCAGCATGAGTTGTGCAACGTCTTCGGACGACACAAGCAGTGGGATCGGTCGCCGACACATTGTTGGGCCTTTGTTTGCCATGGACATCAGTGGTAAGGAATAATTTGTGTTCAGATGGACAAAGTTGAGAGAAACACGGCCGTTCCCGCAGACTCCACCAATCTCCAGACGTTGTTCTCACGGACCAGCAGCTTAATTGTACGTATGACGACAATGCTTCATCAGGTTTGCAGATTCTCATCGTGTGAGATGCAGCATAACTAACTCACACCCAGTAGAGTCTTTTCGACCTGTTCAGTCCGTCTATATTGCAGAGCTGCATTGCGCATCTGCATGGAAGCTGCAATGGAACGTATGGCTGCAACGTTCACTTCGTCGAAATAAAGAGCTCTAGTCCCGACTTTGTTTTGTACTGCTAAACGACTCCTAGGTCTGGGCGGGTGTGGTCGCCGTCCGGGGCCACTCACACCTTACAAGCTTCGGGTCCGACGCCAGAGGTATCCCCAGCCGCCTCACACGTCGCATGTATGTTGAATCAATGTCGAAATGGGGCGATGTTGTATTGTAGGACGATGACAAGCCGTTTCCCCTGCATCGAGCCAACCTATCGCAACTCCTCGGTCAATTCAGTGGGACAGTCAACAATCCGAAACAGGAGTTGTCACGGACGCCACATTGAAGCTCCTTACATTAGCATGTTCTCTCAGAAAACACATCTTTCCACAAGAATACCCTTCAATATCGGCGTCTCCAGGATACGTCTTAGGTTTGAACCAATATTCGCAACGAGCTGATCGAAACCCCGGACAAGAAACTCCGATTCTGGCTCAAAGGCGTGGCTGGGCTCATCGAGGGCGATGAGCCAGCTCATTTGGAGAGAAACGCAAGTCGAATGAGTCCAAGGTCATAAGGAAAGAACATGTAATGAACCCGAACAAGAAAGACTTATTCATGTAAGGATGCACATTGTACCCGTGGCTGGTAAAGTCTGACATATCGTGGAACAGCCTTGCATCTCACCTACCCGATGTTGACATGTCAAATTTCTCCAACGTAACAGGTCTTCGCTACCGCGTCAAGCTGATGCTCGATAGAGCACAACACGGGGAAGTTCATGTGTCACCAACGAACGGACTCTAGCTCTTTGAGGCTTGACGTTCCTGTGCCGAAGGACATGCTGTTGCGTCTGACGACAAAGCCGTCCACGCTCATGTCGATCACTCCTTCGATTGCGTGTCTGAGAAACACGGTCGAACCGCAAATTCATATCCTGGACCTTGGTGGCTTCAATCTCGGATATTTGCTGAAGTATTGACTCGTCGTTACTCTCTGAGACGATATGGAGATGAGGAGATCCTGGAGTATTACACCATCCATAAGGATCGGTCATGTCGATATGCTGTTGAGATCCCAATCTCGTCAATCGATGATACTTCTGTCCTCTATGGGATCCTCGGAGTGAGCGCCCGGAGACGCAGAAAGAACCCGTCGCACAGCTTCAGGCCAATGCTCGAGCCGCCGATCCATTAGGGGGCGTCACGACGCCATCTGAAGCCGTTTCCAAGATTGGTGGCTCTGGCGCCAACGAGCCGAATAGGCGTGGAAAACGCCAACGATTCAGGGTGGCCCTTTTTCAGTCACAGATCAAGATCTCACGGGATCCCTGTCATGGAGAAACTCGACGAAAATCGTGGCTCTTGGTGTGACACGAACTCAGGGGGACAATAAGCCACCACGGGACCAGAAAACAGGCCCTGTCCGGTTCCTGTCGCTGATTCTTTCAGTGATGCGAACGCTTCGTCGACCATTTGCTAGGAATACATGGGCATTTTTATGCCCCGTCAGCCTTACGGGAAGAAAGAAGCGTGACGGCACACTGCCCGATATCACGAGCAGACCATCCTGGTAAGACCTTGGTTGAGAACGACCAGAATTGCATTTCGTGCGGTACTCATTCCAACGTCCTCTTTTCCCTCAAAGATTGACCAACAGCCTGCTTTCAGCAAAGTACAGAACAGCCCCTTTCTCACTATGCATTCCTCACGTTCACACTTCCGCATCGGCATGTGAGCTTTTCCCCAGAAGATCATAATCATATCTCCGAGTGCGCAACCATCGACTTTGCATTCAAGTCTCCGGCTACTCGGGTCGGTATACTTGTATCAACCTAAATGGTGCGGACAAAGCGCATATTTTACAGATCACCAGCTAACGAGTCAATCCTCGAAAGAGCTTCTCGACGGAAAACATTCAATGCTTGGATTGATGGGGAGCGTCCGGTATCGGACCGTGGCGTGATGTTTGGTGTTTGCTAACAGCATGCTTCTTAGACTTCTCCCCACAAACGGATAACGGTCACGAACCAACTCATCTCCAATGGCGCGCCAACTTTAGGCAGACAAGCTTGGCCCTAAAAGAATGGAATGAGATCAAGCGTTTGGTGCGCAGAGGTTGCCCGAAATGTCGATCACTTTCAATTCCGCGCAAAACATCGGGTTCCGCTGTGGATGCATTGGAGCCCCTACCCCCAAACAGCAAGACGAGACGACGAGGAAGGTTTTTAAGGCTTTCTAGACCCTGGCAAGCAAGTTTCTTGCGGGGGATCATCAGATCAGCTTGATTCGCCTGTTCAGCCGTTCCGCCTTCAATTGGACAGCTTTGGCGAGTCGACAAGGAGCTGGAGAGAGCCTGCCTTCAGCTGCAAGCCACAATATCCGTTTTAGGCCTAAGCCCATGATAGTGTCATTTTTGGGCACCGCTAGACTCCACCACACCGCTAATATGGCAAAACGAACAACACGATATCTGAGTTGTCATCGCCCGAAGGGTGTTATTAGTCTTATTGATGGCATGGCTGTGAATACATGAAGTTCAAGTGAACATCTGGAGTGGTTTTGCTGAACGAAGGTGTCTTTGATGCTGCTGTTGCTTCATCTGATGGACTGATATCGAGCTGGAGACGAGCTTGGAACGAGCAGCTCCCTTGCTTCAACTGAGCCAACATCACGAGTGGGAATGGTCTCGGAAATAAACGAACCTGGAATGATTGCGTGCCGGTCTGCCTTGCAAGGTTGTGAACTTCCGCGCTATCGCAGCCGTCTGTTCGTACCCGCAGCTCGCGAGGCGGAGTTTCCACATGGTCCAATCAATATACACCGACCTGGCACGAACAAGCAACCAAAGCTACAGCTGCTGGACCCTTGGTGTGTCTCTTCTCTGAGGCTCATTGGTGACAGGAACGCCATGGACATTCATGTCCCCCACAGGGCGCGAGCTTCGGCAACTTTTCCCATCCAGCCCCGAGTTGGGCTGCCTGGAGGCTGGTTGTATGCGGGTGTGAGTGGGTGTCTCTGGCTCCCTTTTTCCCGCATGCTCTTTATGAGGGTCCTTCTTATCTGTTCTTCCGCTCGCACCTCGTTCGGTTCTCTCCTTCTGTCATCTTCTCGTTGATACGCGATCCTGAGTTCAGAACCGACGACATGGGCAGATTCATTCGACTGGGAGCTCTTGCTTGCTTGTACCTGGGTGCGGAGTCCAAGGCATTGAGATGGCAAGATGATACCCCAAGCTGGTCTCCTCCTAAGCAGACCATTGCCGCCATGGACATGTTGGAGCTTGGTTTCAGTCCCGCACCGACGGCGGCGCCTGACCCGGGTAACGTTGAGCTCAAGCTGGCCAAGCGCGTAAGAGGTGACGACACTTGTGGTTACATCTCTGGAATATCCAGTAAGTCAGATTGAAGTTAGTCGTGTTTGAAGCATGCATCACTAACCTTTGTCAAGCCGATTCCATTTACTGCGATGTCGGAACATGCGTGATCAACAGCTTCTACTCTGTTGTGGGATGCTGCGGTTCGACCAGCATGTCGGACTGCAAGCTGCCGACTGCCTGTCTCCCATCAAGTTCATCCAGACTTTACAGCAGCGCAGATACTCTTATGCTGTACTGGTAAGTAGTTGCCAATTGCTCTAAGACGCCAAGAGCACTTGTCTGACAACCCCTTGCAACAGCTCTTCTTCAGGACGGCCAGAGTGCAATACATACGTCTACTCTGATTCCGTCTTTTCCAAGTACACTCTCTTCAACTGCGCCGTCACCGAGGCTCGGATCATTGTCTACGCAAACCCAACAGATACTACTGGCGACGCCACCACTGAAGCGACCACAGCCCCGACCTCTGATCGCACCACCGATGGTTTGTCCCCTATCACCAGCTCCGCCTCTCCGAGCGCGGCCACAATCTCCGCCGCATCAAGCGGCGGCGGCTCCTCCACCCCCATTGGTGCCATTGTCGGCGGCGTCGTCGGAGGTTTGGCAGTCATCGCTCTGATCGCCGTCGGCATCTTCTTCATTATCCGCAGCAAGAAGAAGAATAACCAGACCAACAACCAGGCCGCCCCGGGCACGTATAACCCGCAACAACCCCCGCCAGGCCAACAGCCGCAGATGTACCAGACGGCCCCGACGCAGCAACAGCAGCCTTCTCCCGGCGGCTACGCGCCCGCGCCCACCACACCCGGCAACTTCCCGTCCGGCTTCACGCCCGTTGATAACAGGCAGAGCATGCTGAAGCAGCCGTACGACGTCAGCGCAGCGAGCTACGATCACAACAACGGCGTCAGCCCGCCCGCCAGCCCACCTCCCATGAGCCCGTCGCCGACGTACCAGTCCGGTATCCCGGCGTATACGCAGCAGGGGAGCGGACCCAGCCCGACGCAGGGCGGATATCCCGTGCCACAGCAGCAGCAACAACAGCAGCAGCCGCCGCAACAGTTTTACAATGCGCCGCCGCCGGCCCAAACGCCGCCGCAGCAGCAGCAGCAGACATCGACTACATCCCAGACCCACTACCACCACAACAGCTTCGCTTCTGAGTTGCCTGCTACGAGGGGGGACAGCGAGTTGCGCGAGTTGGCTTGAGCCTTGTCGTCAGTGAGGCGAAATGGGGAAAAGTCGGTGTTTTGGATGCGGATGCGATGGATTCTAATGTTTGGAGTTGCTGGGACAGAATGAGATTTGACGTACGGGATATGAAATGGGAACCACTATCATTATTATGTGTAAATGTATACCCAAAGTCTCCTAGCGTAGCTTGGATGGGACTTTTACCATCTCTAATGCAATGCTGGATTGATCAACACACAATATGCTGGATTATGCTGGAGGTGAAGTACTTCATTTACAAACGGCTCTGTCTGTCCCTGCGCCAAGGGGTATTTGGATTGTCCTCCCGACCCGGAACGAATTGGTCCACGGCCAAAGTGTTGAGGAAGCCCGGATGGACTTGGTCCAGGCTCGTAACGCCACACATTTTCATCGTCGTCTCCAACTCGTCTCGGAGTACTATTCCATCCCGTTAGTCAAGATCTTGGCACTACAATATCGAGGGAAAGACAACTCACTCTCGACATATCGCTCAACGCCCTCAGCGCCGTAATTGAGCGCATATAACAAACCCCTCCCGACGCCGACGGCCTTGGCCCCGAGACACAACGCCTTGAAAATGTCGGTGCCGCGCGAGATGCCCCCGTCAACGTACACCTCGAGCTTGTCGAACACGTGCGGGCAGTTCTTCTGCAGCTCGAGCAGGACCATGACGGTCGCGGGCGAGGTGTCGAGGCTGCGGCCGCCGTGGTTCGAGAGCACGATCGCCTCAACGCCCGCGGCGGCCGCGCGCTCGGCGTCCATCCACGTCTGGATCCCCTTGAGCACGATGGGCATGCCGGGCACGGTGCGCCGCAGCCAGGCGATGTCGGACCAGTTGACGGACGCGTCGATGTAGTCGCCCATGATGCGCCCGATGGCGCCGCCCTTGGCGTCGTTGCCGGCCTTGGCGCCCGAGATGGGGGACGAGCCGATGGAGGCGTCGGAGCGCACGCGCTCGTCGGCCTCGCGCTTGCCGGGGATGGGGGCGTCGATAGTTAGAAAGAGGGCCTTGGCGCCCTGGGCCTGGGCGGAGCGGATGAGGCGCTCCGAGTTGGCGCGGTTCTTGTCGACGTAGAGCTGGAAGAAGACGGGGACGTCGTAGGGCTTTGGGGGGGAGAAGGCGGCGTGCGCGGCGAGGATCTCGGCGAGCGGGAAGGAGGCGCTGACGGAGACGCCCTGGGGGATGCCGGCGGCCTTGCAGCCGCGGCCGAGCTCCTTCTCGCCGTCCGGGTGGAAGAGGCGGGCCATGGCGGTGGGCGGGCAGAAGATGGGGGAGCGCATGGGGTTGGCGAGCATTGTGGTGGAGGTGTCCACGGCGGACACGTCGACGAGGACGCGGGGCCGGAGGCCGATGAGGGAGTAGGCGGAGGCGTTGAGGCGTTTGGTGTGCAGGTCTGTCGCGGCGGAGGAGACGAAGGCCCAGGCTTTCGGGGTGAAGGACGTCGAGGCGGCCTCTTCGAAGTCGTGGGCGCTGATGAGGGTATCCAGTGGTGGTTTTGAGGGTGGTGGTGGTGGTGCTGCTGCTTTTTGCCCGTCTTGCCTCTCATCGTTGGGGGAGGTCATGTTGGCCGGCTGGGCGTGCTGGGTCTGCTTCGGTTTGGGCATGGCTGCGCCCGGGGCGAGAACGCCTTTGAGGTGGGCGGCGGGCAGAGTCGACTTTACGAGGTTGGGCCCGTGAACTTCGGAGTAGACGTCCGTCGCGTCTTTGCCGGCGCACTGCAGGATCACGGCGATACCGCCGGGGTGTTCGCGGACGAAGTCGGAAAAGTCCCACACGTTGCCGTCGATGACGAGCCAGATGTCGTTGAGGGTGTTGTGCTTGGATATCTCGGCTGGTGTCAGCGTCGGCGGCATGGTGAGACGTGTAGTTGTTGACGTGAAGGTAGAAACATGTTTGTGACGGGCGATGATGATTACATATATGTATGCTCGACCTCGGGCCGGGACCGCTCAGGCGGTTCGTTCGTCTGAGATGCAACGGCGCCGAGGGGTAGTCGAGGTCTCGGGCGGCATTACGCCGAACGGGGTCGGTGTGGGGGAGGATCCCCCCCCGGGTATCCGGCATCGGGTAGGTAAGCTGGCAACCTAGGTAGGGGTAAGGTATCCCGCGGGTTCTGATGGGCGGGTTCCCCAGGGGGAACTCACTCGCTAAAAGGATGCACGGACGGCAGCTGGCTGTCATGAATGTAAATCACCGAGACGGCATTGGACGTTCTTTTTTTCGGCTGCATGGCCGCCAACAGCACTTTATCTTTATTTTTGATTCTCATCCCAGATCACCCCGCCAAGGCCTTCCCGATCAGACTCAGCGCCCTCTCGCTGTGGTTCATCTTGAGCGCGATCTGGCGGCCGGGCTCGCTCATCTTGGCCCACGTCTTTTGCAGGATGCCAATGATCTTGGCCTCGTCAATCTCCTCCTTGCTCTCGAAGTCGTCAAACTGGTCGTCGAGGAAGACCAGACAGGCGACGTCCTCTAGGACCTGCGTCTCCTCGTCCTTGCTCAGGTTCTCCTTGCGGATCAGCGCCGCCACGCGGTCGACGTCCTCGGCGGGCAGCGGCGGCTGGATCTCCGCGGACGACGACAACAGCTCGGCCACCTGCGTCGCGGCCTGGGACTTGAGCTTGGCGCGCCAGGTGAGGTAGCCCGGGCGCGTCATTGGGTATGTGTTGCGGGGGATCTCCCATCTAGAAGGGTTGTGCGTGTGAGTTGCAGTGGTTCCTCTTTTTAGATTGTCCCTTGTCTCATGTACTTTGCACATCTCGTCATGGATATTCATGCTTAAATCAATGCGTAATGAAGAAATGGAGAGTGTCTAACCTCCTGAAGTGCTGGGCTCGGCAGGCCAGTTGCAGCACGGGGGGCGCCGCGGGACATCGCACCGCCAGCCAGCGCGTCATTTTGTGGGCATAGTGAAGCTCAAATGTGATATCGGCGGCGGCGGTCGAGGGTCTGGGGTCTTGCTTGTGGGCCTCGTCAATCAGCTCGAGAGCCTTAAGGTAGTTTGGTGGTAGGTCGGGCAGTGCCATCTTGGGTGAGTGAGCAAGATGGTGTGGTTCACTGCTAATCGGGTGTGGTTATTGGGTAGGTGCTGAGAGAGAGAGCGATGATGGTTCGTTTCAAACTTCAGTGTGAGAAGTCATGCTCCCTGACAAGGGCAAAAAAAGGCTTCAAAGCCCGGCGGGTGATTGACTATCTGCAACCACTAATAGCGCAGCGCCCCAACCAACTGGAACCCACTCCGTTCCACGCGGGATGAGTAAGCTGGTTCCCTGATTGGGCTGCCGCCGGAGCATCGCCCGTAGCACCACCATTCTTCAGTGAGAGCCTCAAACCGCGCCCCGGACCTTGTCGTTAACATCAGATTGATATGAGCGTCGGGTTGCAAATGCCAGCGAATTCCCACTCAACATCACACTCCGCACGTCGCACAATTAACGCCTATTCTGGAGACTGCCAATACAATGTTGGACACAGCCATTTGGTTGACGCCATCGGCAAGCTCCAGTCGCCGGTCTCGCCTGCTCTAGACTCTGGCAGACTTTATTGTACCGTGTGTGTGTTTGGTCCCTTCGTCCCATGTTGTCGTGTCTGACGCCAGCTATTGATGTTTGGCCCCTCTCACCCTCTTTTTTTCTGGTTCTCGATCGCCTCGACGGGTTTGACACTTTGGAGGTCTTAGAGGCCGTATTAATAGAATTGAGGGGCCACTTCCTGGTCTTTGTAGTCGCAGCCGGCTTCGAGTGGTTTGACGGGTTTCTCCCTCAGAATTCACTGCCACAGTTGATTCGTTTTTCCGACACTTGCTCTGGACCACTCGTGCGGGTAGATATTTCTGGAGCTGAGTCCGGTTGGGAAGGAGCTCGTTTAGGATCCGTCGCAGTGAGAATCCGATTTTGCTGAACTCTCGGCCGCTCCTTCCTCAGCACCTTCGTCCATCTACTCATCAACCCCACCACCACCATCTCTCCACAACGTTCACTTCCACCTCGACAACTACCACCTCCATCTTCACAACAACAAACAATAGATCGCATCAATTGTTTGGTATAAATTAGGATTCACTCCCTTTCGCTGAATAACCCCAGTCCCAAAAATCGGACAACAAAAATTAACCAACCGCAAGTTCATCACCACCCCGCGCTTTCCGGCCTCAGCTCACTAACAATATCCTAGGCCTCCTATCCTCCACAAAGACATCAATCCACAACATTTCACTACTGCTTTTACCACCTCTTCGCCAAACCTTTCATCTTCTCCTCGCCCTGACTTTTCAGCAACATTCACCATCGCCCGTGCTACTGCAATCACATGTCACTGCTACAATGACGGGCACAAAGGCTGGTGGCTCTCACAGCCATAACCTTACTGTTGTCAAGGACAACGACGACGCTTCTTCAATCACAGCGGTGACAATCGAATCGGACTCTGATGCTAGCAGCACCATTACCCTGGTCGATCTTTTTCCCGACCTTGCCATCTTAGACAGCGACGCTGCCGGCGACACCTCTGCTGAGTCCACTGACGCTACGAGCTCTCAGGTCAGCAGCACCGGTGATGAGCAATCCACAAACGCAGACAACGAGGCCTGCGCCAAGAAGTCAGGCGACGCCAATTCCAGCAAGCAGAAGGGAAAAGCTGTCGAAGTTGAGAGCGAATCCGCAGAGACATCAGCTGCAGAGAGTACCAGTGGAAACGAATCGACATCTGAAGCGGCATCATCTGAGGCAGGCACCGAAGAGGCAGCTGCAGCTGATTCCACAACCTCTGGCGAGGCTTCCTCCAGCGAAGTGGCTTCTACGGATGGAGCATCAGATGCCTCAACCAGCGCAAAGCCATCAACCCCAGGCAACTGGACAGACTCGGAGGATGCCTTGATCATAAGCATGAAGGAGGGCGGCGAGACCTGGGCAGCCATTGGAAATGCCATGAACCGAGGGAAGAACGAGGTCAAGAAGCGCTGGCACGTGGTGAAGGCCAACCGGGCCAATTCGACCGAGTCTGGAGGCGATACTCAGACCGACAAGAGCGCAGAGTCAACCGAGGAGAAGGAGCCTGGGCCTACGGCGGAGGCGAAGCAGAGTAAGGGAAAGGAGCTGCAGAATGTCGAAAGCACCAAGCCGAAGAACGCCAAAGATGATGCGACAGGCTGCAAGAAGAAGGGCAAGGAGCAGAAGGTTGCTTGCGACAAGGAGAAAATCAAGGAGCCCAAACAGAAGAAGCAGAAGAAGAAGCCCGTCGTAAAGGAGCCGGTTGCAGAGAAATCCGAGTCTGAAGATGACGACGCAGAGAGCTCGTCCTATCGCGAGCGCATGAATCTACTCCGAGACACGTCGTCTGAGTCCGAGTCGCCTGCTACCAGCGGCGATGACGCAGATGCGCCCGGCTACTACGAGCGGGAGGTTGCTCGCCAGGAGCGATATATTCGTCGACACGTCCACCCTCAACTCTACCCTGTTCCGCCTGCCGCCCGCGCGCCAAGCCCAGCAGACAAAAGGCAGCGGCGGGACGATGCCATCCTCGCGGCCGTGGCTTCGAGACGAGAGGCTACGAAGTGGCTGGAGATGCAGGCCAATTTCTTCAACGTCACTGGCCGTATGGTTCCCCTCCACCTGATCAAGGCGAGATGTGAGGCCGAGGAGGATCGAGGCAAGGCGGCTGGCGTCCGCACTTGGGCTTCTTCTGTCGCAGGAAGCCAGGACTTGCTCGATCCTGAGGAGCAGCCTGAGGTCCCCGAGGATGCTCTCCTGAGCGATGACGATTGACGACTGACTACATTAACACCCCCGCGCGACTGACACGACATTTCGCTTTCGTCCCTTCTCCTCCACTTATGAGATGATGATTGATGATGACAGCGTTTTTGATATCCGGTTGAGAGGCAGTGGGAAGTAATTTTCGTGCAAGTTGTGGGGTGAAAGTCGGGCCAGAAAAGCGATGCTTATTTTAAAGATTGCTTGGGAACAGAACGAAGCTGTTGGTTGGGCAAGAACGAACGAACGGGAAAATGGACGTGGGACGTGGGAACAGATTCACATAGATCTGCTTTTCTTTTTTGCTTTTCTCTCTTTTCTTAGGGGCGTTTTGGCAGGCCCTTTTGTGTGTATGGGCAAGAACAAGGGTTTTTGAGGAAGGGATATTGGGTTCTGGTTTAATAGGAGTTACGGATAATCACGCCAAATGGAATACCCCCTTTAGTTTCTCTTGCAACAAGACCAACAAATTGGAGTCGGCATAAAAGTTTGACTGTGAAGTGATGTGCTGTGAACAATTGAACTCTGATGGATGAAAGTTGGGTGACATAGAAACATTGACACACTCAGCATGACAGGGCCATGTGGGACAGAGGCGTCGAAGAAATTGGGCAAGTTTCCAATTTTCCGGGGAGAAATGTACAATCCACCACCCATTGCGTAGGAACAGGGTATCATGGAACCAGATATTACAACAAGACACACAAACACCGCTGCCGCCATTGCGCGGACCGCGTCTCCCAAAACCCTCCTCCTTTTTCGACTACTCTTGCCAGAGTCTGTCCAATATCCAACCAAGTATAAGTACAAGTGTAAAGGAGCTTCGAGTATTACCAAGAGCTCGCAATGTTTATTATGTGCAGTCCTCCATCCTGCTGCTTTTGACAGTCAAATGTCTGGGATGGCTGAGACCAAGGCGATCTGAGACTGGCGGGTCATCTCGTCCCCAACACTCAGAGATGGTGAGCCCCATGACAATCTGCCATTCGGGACGCTGAAGCCCCGCCTCTCCTGGTCCGACGTCACGATGAGACGCAATACTCCCTGGCATCGGTGGCTGTATCGTCTCTTCGTCCTTGGCTTGCCGGAAAGCTTCGTCCAAGTGTCGTTGCCAGGGTCATCAACGTTCGTTTGAACACCGGATGGAGATGTTGTGAGGCCAACACTGCTGATGACCTCTCCGTCATTCAAGAAGAAAGTCCGCCATTGCTCATCTTTCAAATGGGGTTCTCCATGCCGGGGGCCATCGTGGTGCCCGGTGGTGCCGGGCTCGGGCTCGGCCCTTTGGTCAACGTGTTGTTGCTCGAACCCAGCCCGCGCTTCATCATCTTGCCCAAGACGGTGACCAGCTCACAAGCATCGGCAAACATGTCGTCATCCATACCCTCCGTCGCTTCGTACACTTCGGAGATGGTGTCCTTGGCTAGCTTGCGGCTTCCGTCATAGTCGTGAACGCAGTCGTACAGGAACGCAGAGTACTCCGTCTTGGCCGACAGTCGCAGCGAGTGCGAGCCCCAGAGATGCTCATCGGCCAGCGCAATGGCCTCCTTGAAGTACTTGTGAGCCTCAGGGAGGAAGTCTCGTGGCGGCTCGAGGAAGGCGGCCGGTAAATCCGACCCATTACGAGGAGCGAACCCCGGCGGAGGGTTTACCGGACCGCCCTCGAGAGCATGCGTTGGCTGTATGGAACCTTGCGACGAGTTCCAGTCCTCCCTGGCAATCCCCTTGCCTTTGTCCAGTCTGGGTGGTGTCAGGCCGGCCATTGTGTCGGGGGTCGAAATACCCATTGTCGAAACAGAGGGCTTGTTGTGGAACAGGACAAAAATGTGATAAAACGATGCTCGCAACTTGAGTGCCAAGACGCGAAGCTCAGTGTGATTACCGACCATGGGGATCACATATTGCTGAAGCATGACTAGACCTTCTCGCGAAAGCCATATTATGTGAAAAATGAGGTCGAGGGATTGAGGTGCGCGGGAAGGGTCAGGGCGGCGTTGCTTCTTTGCGACGACGAGCTGCTCTGCGAGGCTGAGTGAGAGACCAAGGATCTTGTAGAGCATAGACGACAGAAGAGGGTTGTCCGTCTCGACGGCCTTGGCCCATTTGCCGAGGAACTTCTGGTCAACCTCGGAAGAAGCCATCGAGGCTTTTGGGATTGATGAAGCGGTTGTTAGGTGGGTCGCGCCTGCCTTGCCTTATCAACGGTGAAGGTTTTCAGACGAGATACTGAAGCGAACACGTCAGGGATAACCAAGACGGGCTGACGGGGTCAGAATCGTCTGCGGGAAACACCAATTCGATCGCGCGATTCAGGAATCAGGTTCGATGAGAAAGCTGATCAAGTCTGAGCGATGGGTGTCGGTTATGATGAGAGTGAGTGAGAAGTCAGTCCCGGGTGGAAGTCGGACGATTGAGCTGGTGATTTCCTGAGTATGCGCCGTCGGGTGTAGTCGTGGCACTCTTGATTAAAAAGCTGTGTTTGTTAGTACCTAATCAGCAGCAAAACAGTCTCATCAATTGAGATGCAGAGGCAAATACTCACGGATATGATACATTACAGTGAGTGAGACGGAAGTTGGTTGGTAAAATAAGGCCGATTGGAGGGATGCTTAAGGCGAAAGACGGCTAGCAAGTTACTGAGATAGGCTGAGACTCAAACGGCAAAACGATTACGGAATGGCCTGTTTTCGCAGAGAGCATTGCGATGTTGACCGTGATTTTGTTCAGCTGTCGTTGTGAGGCCTTATTAGAAGCAACTGCAGGCTGAAGCTGTCAATTGGCCTGCGAGGACAATCCCTGGAGGAAAAACGAGCGTAAGAAGGGACAAGCCGGTCTGGAAGAAAGCGGTGAGAGGCTGGCGCTGGCGTGGCGGAATTAAGAGCCGGACGTTATTGGTGTCGACCAAAGAGAAAAGCGAGGTCGGTTGGGTTGAATCGGGCGGCCGGTGGCAGTTGGAACTGTCGAATTGAAGGGTGACGAGGGGCTGTAGTCGAGCGAGTGCTATGAGGGCATCTCGAGGACGGTCGAAATGTATCGATCGACAGGCGGCAGCAAGGCAGACAGGTTTTGAGATGGGTAGAGGCGATGTAATGTAAGGTAATGTAGGTAGCTGCAGGATATATGTGCCCTAAAGGAGAGGTGCAGACACAGACGCAGGAGGACTGGGGCGCGCGGTCGTATTGTGCATGAACGAGTGTGGGCCTGGGCGAGAGAAGTAAGGTAAGGTAGCTGCGGGCTGGCCGTGGAGTCTGAGAGGTCGAGAGTTGCGAATGGAGGCGCTTTCTGGGCACGAGCGCAGCTACAGGCGACAGGTGACTGCGGCTCGACGTACGTAGGCTGACGGTGCTTGGGTTCGGGCGCCGATGAGATGAGATGAGGTGGGAGGCGACGGCGTTGGTGAGTTGAGGTGGTACGGGAGGAGAGAGGGCGAATGAAGTCCAAATTAGATGGTTGGCTGAGGGTGGGAGAGATGCTGCAAGATGAGTTGTCCGACTCTCGGGAGGCTACGTCTGGTAAGGTACCTTCACGCGGCGCGCACCGTGTCAATGGGCAGCCAAGAGCTCTGAGCCTGACGTGGGAAGTGAGGTGGGATAAGCGGAAGACGGCGGCAGGGACGTAATGCGCAATGTGCCGTTGGATTGGGAAGAAAACGGAAGAAGCGAAAGAGATGGGAGAGATATGCACGAGGCCAGTATTCGTAACATGGTCGTGTAAAGGCCGGGGCTGGGAAAGACATTGGAGGGAGATGACGGGAGCGAAGAGGCAAGTACCTTTCCATGAAAAATCGAACCAGGCAGAGGCAGGCACCTGAGGACGAGGTACCTCGGGCGGGAAAGGCATGCCCATGCCCAGAGCTGGAGCTTGGCCGGGCTCGAAGCTGGCTGGCCTGGGGAGCTGCTGGCCTCCATGGGCTGCCACTTTTACTGATGCAATGCAGGAATATTCGTGCCGTACTGCGTAGGTCCTGTTTCCCACGAACTGGCCGGGGCTACGGGGGTAAGAAAGATGCGCTAAAATGGGACCCTAAGGCCCGCTTCTGGTAGCATTGGATCGGATCCAATTGCCCCAGGCCCCCAGCTGGAGGGGGACTTGGGACCCAAATGACCGCAAAGACACCACCAAGGTGACACTGGCAGTATCCGTACCGCCGTCTGTTCGTCGTCTGCATCCACCGCCTGCCTTCATCCTCGGCATTCTCCTTTTCAAGACCGCTGGCCGAGCAAACAGAACTCTGATTGACATCACCTCATTCATCTATCATCTATCGCACTTGGCCGTCTTCTCTGTCGCAAATTGCCCTTGCCGTCCCAACTCCCCATGTGGCAGGCAAACTGACTTTTTGAGCTTCCTTCGTCCGAACCCTAGCATGTTTCTTCTGCCCAAGGATGCATTTGCGCAAACTGACGCCGAGACACGATAGCGCGGCGCTTTCGTTTTGACGCGCGGGATCGAGCCCGAGACAGGCCGACTACCGATCACTCACTCGCTCGCGCTCTTAAGGGTCCGCGGGGTTCTGACAGTCGGCCAGACCAAAGCAGTCGACGGACCACCTACTAGAGAATATCTACTCGGGCACATGGTTCTAACAATTCTTGCCGCAACGGCTAAGATGCAAGCAATGCGGATAATACATGCAAATCAGTTTCAAGAGTGCATGCTTACCCGCCGTCCATCTCATACCACCCGCGGCTGAGACACGAGAAAGATACCATCTCGCTTCTCGCACGCACTTCCGCCTCGGTAACCGACACGATTGTTGCTTTTCTCTCTCCCTCGCCCGCCAGCAGTCTGAAGGCAGGTCGAATGCACCCACACAGACGCTGCACTGATGGCTTGCCTTGCCGCTGATGAAGTGGTCGATTGTAGTGGCGATGCGAATTCAACGGCGGGGTCATCTGGGTTCAGGAATTCCGAGCGGTACAACGTGGTCGACTGTCGCATTCCGATCCATGATCTATCCCGTCGACCTCGAACACCAACGGGGGGTCCCGTGCGACTGTCACCCCCATCTGGGGGTTTCAGAGCACCAAACCCACCTTCCGAAACAAAACGCTGCTTGAGAAGCGTGGTGTATTCACCGACAGGTTGCACAATTCCTCATGTGCGAGGGCAAGACGATGCAGAATGGTCCAAGTTGTTCGTCGAGGAATTAATTTGTGCTCTCACACAACGGTACGTACGGATACGTCCATTTACCTCACCTGGCTTGACGACCCGCTAACGTTTGGCCGTGGTCCCTGTTTCGTGGCAACCCGGTCGAGCTAATCCTATCCTGCTTTAGTGTCGAGCCTCCTCCATTCTGGCCAACGGGACGCCGCGCGCCTTCTCAAAGCAGGGAACGTCCCTCAGCCCCGAACAAAGTGCATCCCAGCCACCCCATTTTCAGTGTAAGCTGCCTGCTTCAAGAATCTTCCTGATCTCAGCTGCCATCACCGGCCTTCTGCAACGCCTCCTGGAATACCTAATGGTGCCAGCGCATCATTTGACTGCACGGCCACGGCCACGGCCACGATCGCTATCGCTACTACCACGGTCTTCTTAGTCCTCTGAACGTCACGCCTCCGCGAGGCCTCTCAGCACCCTGCCCGTCAGCCCCGCCAATGAGAGCCTAACAGGACCCTTCCACCTCTGTTGGAGCTTGTAACGACATTCACTGCCTCAAGTGAGGCAATGCAATAGTCCTCTACCGGTTGAAGCTGTGTACTCTGGGCGATAGAAACTTGGGGGTCCATCTGCTTACTTGCTGAGCCAGCTACTGGTGCATACGACCCATAGGATGGAAGCCTTGCGGGCCGTCATATCTGCGGCCAACCCCATACCATTCAATCAAGGACCAATGGGTTCTTCGGTGACCCAACCCTCTCGTCGTGGGCTTCCTAGTAATCCACGGTTGTTTGAAGCACGACCTGACGTATGCCGGAGCGGGCAGTAGCCACAAGCAGGAGCCTTGAACTGGCGGTGAAGACACCGTTATCCGAGACTTACACGACGCTTCATCAAACACTCGAACCCCCAAACCAGCTCTTAACTCTGACAGGACATACTTCTTTCGCCTTTGTTGCAAGGATATACGGGGCCTAGAGATGCTGCGGCCAAAGGCCCTGGGAAAGCCCAACCTGATTTCGAAGTACCCGCCCGCGACCCTTCGAGTTGGTATCGCTACACGTCGACATGACTGCATGAAATGCCACCAATGCAGTCGTCAGGCTTGCAGTACGGATGCGTTCATCGACATGCGTTGTCAGTGCTCTCGAAGGGGCAAACAGGCAGTATCAGCCTGAAAGTCACAATGCGGCGCGCCATCGTACAGCACAGTGCAAAGCCACTTCTCCGTCAATCCATCGAAAGCCGACTTGGGCTCCCTCACTCGTCACACGACAGGTCCCAGATCATGGACTGCAGCCCTATCTGTCACGATCAAGTCTCAAACGGACTGGTCTTTCCCGAGATGGTTCAGCTACGGCATTTTCGCTCAGGTCGGTTCAACTTGCCTCACCACTTGCCCAAGCCCATCCCAAGACATCATGACGCCGTTGGGCACTCGGTGAACTGGCACGTGGACGCAACAAGAAGCCAGTGCAACCCCCCGTTTGCCAACTGTCAAGTCCAGGGCCTGGGCAAACTGCTTCCGAAGTAGCTCTGTTCCTGTGCTTTCAAATGAAAACACGCTCAAACCGAACCCACGGACTCGATTTGGATTTCCCCCTGGAACTGTTCCTCGTTCCCAGCCGGAACGGGACGTTGCAGCTCCCGGTCCTGGGAGCTGATTGCTAGATCTCAGAGACCTCGCCGTCTCATTGGGCCTCCTCGTGTTGTCCCTGGCATCCGGGCTTGTGTGCCGATGAAGGCTTCCTACAGTTTTAAACGATTGTTTGCTAGTGGCAGCGAAGTGACGCCGACGCTATCAGTTTGATGCCCAACAAACATGAGCGGGCATTCCTTCGGTCTCGAAGTGTCTGAGACGATACTACAAATGTGGCGGTCTGACCCGGCGTTGCGTCTTGATTGCTATATTGCAGCGAATGCTCTTTCCGACCAACATATTAACCATCGCTGTTTGCCTCGCGCCAGTCACTCATTTCAGCCTTTGATCGTTACTACTTTACAAGCTCAGAGACTGCCAATTTCGTTGATTTGGTCACGCGAATCATATTTCCATTCGATACATGACAATTCGCAAAAGGAGTCAAAAATATCCAACGCCAGTATCAGGATTTACATCTTTCTCTTATCTGTACGCTCGAAAGATCTGGAGTCTCAGCCAACCTTCAGATTCGATTCTCGATAGCATCCAACAACCACCGAAATGTGCCAATACTACGCTCACGCCTTCACCTGCAAGCATAGCAGCTACACATTCGCGCGCTTCTGTCGACCCGCGAGCTTGATACAGAAACCCTGTAGCAAACGCCAGGTCTGGCAGACTATTCGTCTCGACGATGCCTGCGAAGAATGTCTGACCTGGTTCCCAGACCGGTACCCTTGCCGCCGGCCCCGGTATCAGTGAAGACAACCTGACTCGGCGTGGCCTTTCGAAGCCAGTGAATGTGCTTGATATTGAACCTGCTGGAAAAGTTCGGCCTTCATATTACACATTCTTTCTCAAGCAACGGCCCGTGTCTGAAGGAGTCCTCGACATCCCCAAACACGGCAGTCGTATTACTAGAGCCTCTGTGGACGGACGTTTAGATAGAACGGCTGGCTGGTTCAGCTGATGATTACGATTTCGATGATGATGGAAGCGCTGTTTTTTGGGATCAAGTCTGTTATGTATTACCTTCGAGACCGGCGTATGTGGAACTGTGGATACACAAAACTTGGGATTTGAAGGACTACGGGACCGAGACTGGCATTCAACAGGACAGATCTTGGGAGGACTTTGAAGTTTGTGTCAAATAGAACTGATTGAGTTCAGACTGTTTGGTGGAGCGAGCCTTTGGTACTCAAATTACGGTACGATAGAGTCTGCCTAACCGTTGCCGTGCGTCTTATATGGGAGTCTTGAATCCTGCTTTTGACAATCCACATGCCGTGTCCGAATCATGCGACTCCTTGATTTTGTGTTCTTTTCTGGCAATAGAAATGACTACACTGCCTTTAGCGATTGGGTTGACATATTAACATGGCTGCCGTGTGCGAAGACTTTTTCATGAACAGCTCATCCAGTGCGGTATATGTTAAGAGCTTAAAGATCAATTGATGCGCTTTTGAGGCAAGAATGCTCTCGCCCGAGACGGTCAAGCAACCTCTCAGACTTCATGATGTGAAGTTGACCACTTCTCAGCCAGTGAAATTTCGCGCATTAACACCGTCGAGGGGGTGGGCCCAGCTGGCAGCACTGACGCCGGCCCGCCAATGGCGTAAGAGCTCCCGCATAGCTCCCCCCTCTACTTAGACCCGAAGGAAAGTCCCGGTAGCAAAAAAATTTCGAGTCGAGGAGACCGCCATCAGACGATATCTCAACCTCCCTCCCCGTCCATCCGCGCCGTTGTCGACAACGAGCATCCAATTGTCTATCTCCCCACTCTTCGTTCTTCTGTTGTTCTTCTTTACTATTTAATACACACAACAGGCATTCAATATGTCTACCGCCTTCAGATCCGTCGCGCCTTTCCTGCGCACGGCGCGCGCCTCGCTGCGCCAGGGCAACGTCAGCCCTCTCCAGGCCGCCCTGAAGAGCAAGAACGTCTCTCCCGTCCTCAACGTCTGCCGCAACTACGCCGTCTTCGAGCGTTCAAAGCCCCACGTCAACATTGGTAAGAACAGTCGACAAGGGCTGCATCTGGGTGATTTGGCTAACTGAATCGTCTTCTAGGTACTATTGGCCACGTCGATCACGGAAAGGTACACCTCGAGACAATAACCAGCGCAATTGCGCACCCTGACTGACCATTTCCAGACTACGCTGTCCGCTGCCATCACCAAGAGACAGGCCGAGAAGGGCCTTGCCAACTTCCTCGAGTATGGTGCCATCGACAAGGCTCCTGAGGAGCGCAAGCGTGGTATCACCATTTCCACCGCCCACATCGAGTACGCCACCGACACCAGACATTACTCCCACGTCGACTGCCCGGGTCACGCCGATTACATCAAGAACATGATCACTGGTGCCGCCAACATGGACGGTGCCATTATCGTCGTCGCTGCCTCTGACGGTCAGATGCCCCAGACCCGTGAGCACTTGCTGCTCGCCCGTCAGGTCGGCGTCCAGCGTATCGTCGTCTTCGTCAACAAGGTCGATGCCATTGACGACCCCGAGATGTTGGAGCTTGTCGAGATGGAGATGCGTGAGCTTCTCAGCACCTACGGTTTCGAGGGTGACGACACCCCCGTCATCATGGGTTCTGCCCTGTGCGCCCTGAACAACCAGAAGGACGACATTGGTGTCAACAAGATTGATGAGCTCATGAAGGCTGTCGACGAGTGGATCCCCACTCCCCAGCGTGACCTTGAGAAGCCCTTCCTCATGTCTGTTGAGGACGTCTTCTCCATCTCTGGCCGTGGTACCGTCGTCAGTGGACGTGTCGAGCGTGGTATCCTGAAGAGGGACACCGAGGTTGAGATTGTCGGCAAGGGTGATGAGGTCATCAAGTCCAAGGTCACCGATATTGAGACCTTCAAGAAGTCCTGCGAGGAGTCCCGTGCCGGTGACAACTCCGGTCTCCTCCTCCGTGGCATCAAGCGTGAGGACATCCGCCGCGGTATGGTCGTCGCCAAGCCCGGCACCGTTAAGGCCCACAAGTCCTTCCTCGCCTCCCTTTACGTCCTCTCCAAGGAGGAGGGTGGCCGTCACACCGGTTTCCACCAGAACTACAAGCCCCAGATGTACCTCCGCACCGCCGATGAGGCCTGCACCCTCACCTTCCCCGAGGGCACCGAGGACGTCGACAGCAAGATGGTCATGCCTGGTGACAACGTCGAGATGGTCGCTACCCTGCACAACCCCTCCGCCATTGAGGTCGGCCAGCGCTTCAACGTCCGCGAGGGTGGCCGCACCGTTGCCACCGGTCTCATCACCCGTGTCATTGAGTAAATGATCTGATTCAAAACCAAAAAAAACCTCGATACCCTGAGTCGGCACTCAGCACACACTCTCTTCCCAGCATACGATATATGATTTGGGACGACCCGAAAAACTGGATGGGAAAATTGGGATTGTACAAAAGGTGTTTGCGTCACGAATTATGTACAATTGACCCCAAGCTTTTTCCGCTTTGAGCCCTCGCGCTCGTGTATATTTGTCGGGTCCTGGGCTCAAAGATCTCCACTCTACTTCAACCCCTGTCTTGAATCATGTACTTTTAGAGACGATGGTCAATAGAATAACGTGCTTTGTGCCACATGATCACACTTTGGTTTCTTCAAACGTAGTTTCATTCAGCGTGACAGACATTGGCGAGACTCGAGTCGTCATTACATCCCCAGACTTGATAATGACCCTGGCAGACGAGAACCAGGCGGCGCGCCCTCTGCGGACCGCGTCGCGCTTTACAGCACGTTGAATTGGTGGCCCCGGCATAGTGATGGTGGTAAGGTTCAATGTCGTGGTATTCGTCTATCCTCAATGGATGTCCGACGGAGTGCACTTTATTCTTCCGTTAAGCCAGCCATAAGAACTCCATGCCCTTGGAAGCCTCCCTCTGTCTGAATGCATTTTCCACGGGCCATCATGCCCAACCACCTTCGAGTCCCATCATCGTCTCGTAATCCTGACGTTTAACGGTACTGTGTTGCACACTCATGTCAGCCATTGCGCGCCCTTCATTCGCGGGGGGAATGTCGTGTAGATCCCGCCAAGGGTTTCTCGTCGCATACCTTGTTGAAGCCGATGTCCTTGGCCTTCTCACGGAAGCACTGACGGCAGAGGTTGAGGTCGTACTTGCGGATAAGACCGGCCGTGTGCTTGCAGACACGGCTGTGATAAAAAAATGTCAGCACTTCGGTCCCTTATGTGCATGTGTTTTCTTCCCCCTTCCATCATCCTCCAGGTGTCCCTATCCAAAACTTTTCCTCCATCCAGGGGATTGGGGTTTTTCGTACCAGCTGCGAGAGCCCTTGCCGTAGTTGCGGGGGCGGGAGTTCCAGACAGATTCGTGAGACATTTTGTCGGCGTGAGGGGGGCTTGTCGTCGAAGGTGTCGGCGAAAACTCGAGATGGGTTGACTGGGTGGTGGTTTGACGCTTTTCGCAACGGAGCGGAAATTTTGTGTGGGATGCGATTTTTTGGGAAGGGGCGCCATTGGAGGGTCTGGCAGCCCCAGAACTGGCAAGCGAGAGGGAGGTCCGTGCCACGAGCTGTCTTCTCACGTGAGAGAGCGATAAGATAAGGCGGGGTTGCTTCTCGATAAGACGCTGATAAGAGGCCTGTTTCTTTTTTTTTCGCCATTCTTGCTCTGGCGGCCAAGGTGGGGCCGGGGAAGCGGTACACGCCACCTAGGTACCCTGCCTCACCAGCCAGACAGGGGGCTTAGCTGTTGCTTCTGTGACGTTGGAGGTTGTCCTGCAAAGTGGCTTCTTTATTAACACCTTCAGCAGACCAGCTGATTTCAAATCGTCTTTTGCAACACCACCATCCTTGCTGCTGCATTCTATTTGAGCAGCTACCTATCGCATCCTGTTGGGTAGGAACTACTTTGAATCGTTTTTATTTCCCATTCAGCTGCGTCACCCAAACCACAATGGTTGCTTTCAAGAGCTTCGTGGTCGGCGCTCTGGCAGCTACCGTTGCCGCCAAGTCTGCCGTCCTCGACCTCATCCCCTCCAACTTTGACGATGTCGTCCTGAAGTCTGGCAAGCCCACTCTGGTCGAGTTCTTCGCCCCCTGGTGCGGCCACTGCAAGAACCTCGCCCCCGTCTACGAGGAGCTTGCTTCTAGCTTCGAGTCCAACAAGGACGTCCAGATTGCCAAGGTCGATGCCGACGCCGAGCGTGACCTGGGCAAGAGGTTCGGGATTCAGGGATTCCCTACTCTCAAGTGGTTCGATGGCAAGAGCGACAAGCCCACCGACTACAGCGGTGGCCGCGACCTGGAGAGCTTGAGCAACTTCATCACCGAGAAGACCAATGCCAAGCCCAAGAAGAAGTACACACCGCCTAGCGCTGTGAACATGCTCACCGACGAGTCCTTCAAGACCATTGTTGGTGGTGACAAGGACGTCTTTGTCGCCTTCACTGCCCCCTGGTGCGGACGTAGGTGTTCCCCTCCCTCTTTGTTGCTGGACTCTTGCTGACCCAACCCCTCAACAGACTGCAAGAACCTCGCCCCCACCTGGGAGACTCTCGCTCAGGACTTCTCTCTCGATGAGGGTGTCGTGATCGCCAAGGTCGATGCCGAGAACGAGGCCAGCAAGGGAACTGCCGCTGCTGAGGGCGTCTCCTCCTACCCCACCATCAAGTTCTTCCCCAAGGGCTCCAAGAAGGGCGAGCTCTACAGCGGCGGCCGCAAGGAGGAGGACTTCGTCGCCTTCATCAACGAGAAGACTGGCACCGCCCGTGTTGCTGGTGGTGGCCTGAACGCCGTTGCCGGCACCATTGCTGCCCTTGACGAGATCGTCGCCAAGTACATCAGCGGCACCACCATTGCTGACGCTGCCGCCGAGGCCAAGAAGGAGGCCGAGACCCTCAAGGAGAAGGCCCAGTACAAGTACGCCGAGTACTACGTCCGCGTCTTTGACAAGCTCTCCAAGAACGACGGCTACGTCAAGAAGGAGGTCGCCCGTCTCGACGGCATCCTCAAGAAGGGCGGCCTCGCCCCCGCCAAGCGCGACGAGATCACCAGCAAGACCAACATCCTCCGCAAGTTCCTCGAGCAGGCCAAGGAGAAGGTCTCCGACGCGAAGGAGGAGTTGTAGAGAACTTTTTCTACGACGTCACGTTACACATGCATCAAGAGCTCACGGTATTGGGGGAGCGGGGGTTTGAGAGGTGAGCAACTGAACGGATCAGCTCACGTTGAGGACTTTGGTAGCCTAGGATACCGACCAAGAAATAAAATAACAAGAATAACTCATGTCTGCGTGTGAGACTGGCCGTGATATCAGCTTTATTCGTGCTTTCATGTAAACCCTAAACGCCATAGACACAAACGTGCTCCTAAAACTGAATGCTGAAGAGGTCAAGACGACTTTGATGAGCCCTCCTTCTCCTTATTAGCGAGAAGCGCTGCCTCCAAGTTGTCCAGTCGGCGAGACATTTCATCCACTGAGACAGTCGTTAGTGATGCTGTCCTGGGCAAGGGGTGGCAGTTGTGCTCACTCTTCGCGAAGATCTCGCTAGACACCCCGGCAAACTTGTTGGAGATGGTGTTCAAAAGTTCCTCAACGGCAGCGTTGACATCGCCCTTGGCGTCTTCCGAGGCCTGGCGACAGTTAGTACCGGCTGTGAATGAGGCCTCGACCCATGGACGACATCCTAAGACGCTGCGCGAGGCGCCGCGAGACTCTGTGGGGTTCATCGCCATGTCTCACTTACGGCAGACTGGTTGCTCGTGTCGGGGTTGTTGGAGGCCATATTGACAGTGTTGTTCAATTGCGAGTAACGAACTGTTCCAAGGCTGTTTAGAAGTTGGTGGTTGGAATGAGGCTCACGTATGGTTGCCCTGCCTCTCTCGATGTTGGCGCGTTGCGGTGAAAGTGGTGGCGGGGTACAGATGGTGCCGTGGTTGGTTCCCAGCACAGAGGGGTGCCGTGCCTCCGGATTAGCACTGTAGCGGCCCCGACTTAGGCAGGTCCGGACACCTGCATCAGGGAGCTCCAGCCTGACCAACCGTGTGGCTGTAGTGGGGCCCGCCCTCTAAGGCCAACGGAAGCATCCCGTCCTCCGACCCAATGCCGTCATTCCACCTGCATAGCAACACCTACAGCCCACCAACTCAATCTCCCGATCCCATCTTCGAGACGAACACCACACGACCACATCCTTCCATCTCGCAACCCTGCTCCGCCACAGCACCTACGGGAGGATCAGCTCAGCAAAGCCAAAGGATGGCAACGAGATAAACCCGGGGGCAACGGTCGTCCGGCATCATGCCCTATCCACACGAAGACCCGCGCATCGTCGTCATCGGCCTCGCCCTCATCGGCATCTTATGGATCTTCCTGGCGCCCGGGAACGGCGGCGCATCCCTCTTCTCGGCCTCCGACCTCGCGACGCAGCGGCTGCGGCGGCACCAGCACGCGCTCGAGCTGCTCAACGCCTCGTCGTGGGGCAACTTCTCGGCGCGGCGGAACGGGACGGGCGAGGAGGAGCTGCCGCGCTCGCTTAACATCACGGGCTTCCGGGCCGAGGACGGCTTCGCGTGGGACGATTTGGAGAGGTTCCAGGAGAGGTGCCTCGAGTGGAGCCGGAATGCGATACCGCCCGTTGGAGGGGTGAACCTCTGGGACATTGGCCAGGGCGAGGCGGTTTGGCAGAACGCCACAGGGGCCGTGAAGGGGACGTGGGTGCGGAAGGATGCGTCGGTGAAGAGGCAGTGGACGAGCTACAACCTGAGTGCGGTCACGCCGAGTTTGCACTGGAGCGGGGCGGAGGCCGATTGGGCGAGGAACATTACGGGTGACGAGGGCAAAATGCTGTTGGACGTGATCGATACCGGCCGGCACACGAAGGAGTTTGAATACGAGAGTATTCTGCACGAAGGTGTCCCGACATCCGGCGGTAGAGTCAGAAGTGCTAAGGCATCGCTGACCGTCGAGGATGTTAAGGGAACCGGGTTCAATTGGGAAATGAGGTTGCATGGAGTTCAGTGGCCGCGTCAAGGGACGCTGCTTCTGACCACGACGAGCGAAAAGTTTGACGGCATATTCGGGTTGCCTCATCTTTCTCCGAGCTCAGACTTTTTTCAGTCGAGTCGATTGCTTCTGAATGCGACTCTGTCCGAGGTACTGCGGAGGAAGGAGAAGGAGGTCTTCAACGACGGCGTTATGCCTTGGACTTCAGACCCGTCGAACCCGCCAGATACTCTCAACCCGTCACCACACTGCGAGTACATCATGTACGCGCAGGTTCATCCCCCGGACAGAAGTCGGTTGAACATGAAGGGTTTCCAGTCGGGGAGGGAAGGCATGTCGCAGATCATCAGCGACATCGAGCAAGAGCTTCGCTTCCCGAACGGCGCCCCCATTCGTGGGGTTCCGGAGCTCAAGCTGTCTGCCATCATCTGGTCTCCCGACTGCGGTTTTTTTCTAGAAACCAAAGGGCCCCCAGACTTCCCACCGGCAGACGGCCAGCATCTACAGGGCATGAAGACTGAAATCATCTACTACAAGATCCGCGTCTGGATCCTGGCGTTCGCAGGGGTCATCATCGCCCAGGCCCTCCTCTTGAAGCACCAGATGAGGGAATCTGCCACGCCGTCCACCATGGGCCGCATCAGCTATAATACAATCAGTATGATGGTCATGGTCGATGGAAGCATCTTCGCTGCCGCCTCCATGTGGGCTCTAGACGCGAGCATTACGTATCTCGAGTCTTTGTCCCTGCTCTTCGCCGCATTTCTCTCCATGTCGATGGGTGGCTTCTTCCTCGCGGAGATCCACAAAGTACAGGAGCCGGAGAACAGAAGACGCAGTGAGCGCGAACAGGCCGAGACACCACGTACGCCAGCAACTCCAGCACAGAACCTTGAGGCAGACTCCCTCCCGCGACCCGTCACGGCCGGACCACGCAGAAGAGCCCCCACGCCGCCTATCATCGTCCCCTCAGACCAGGATATTGATGCCGACATCGATGCCGTAACAAACGGCGCTGCGGCTGTCCCGGACGCTGGCGCGGCCACCCGCGCCGGTCCCGAGGTCACCTTCCAAGCCGTCATATTCCGCTTTGCTATGATAGTGTCTCTCCTCCTCCTGGTCTCCATAGCATCGACGTCCTGGTACCCCCGTATCCGCAATGGGTTCGTAAACACTCTTTCGATGGTGTACTTTTCCTTCTGGGTTCCGCAGATTCACCGCAATGTAATCCGCAACTGCCGTCGAGCCTTGACGTGGCGCTTCATGATCGGCCAGTCGATCCTGCGTCTCCTCCCATTTGCGTATTTCTACATTTACGAGGACAACTTTCTCTTTGCAGAGACAGACGTCCGCGCGTTCCTCGTCTTCTGCGCGTGGCTATGGATACAGCTTTGGATCTTGGCATTTCAGTTCGTTCTCGGCCCGCGCTTCGGCGTGCCCAAGAGCTGGACCCCCGACGCGTGGGACTACCACCCCGTCCTCCGCGAAGATGGCGTTGAGGCCGGCGGGCTTCCCATCGGCTTGCTCTCTGAGCCCGGCTCCCCGTCTCTCGACAGGGTGCGGACGGGCGAGGACAAGAAGGGGAGCAACCTGCGTGCTATCGACTGCGCCATTTGTCGCGAGGTGCTCGAAGTGCCCGTTATGAGGGCGGGCGAGGAGGATCCCACCGCCGGCGGGGTTGTTGGTGTGTTTACGAGGAGGAATTACATGGTTACCCCGTGTCGACATATTTTCCACAGCGCTTGTTTAGAGGGATGGATGAGGTTCCGGCTGCAGTGTCCCATATGTAGGGAGGAGCTGCCGCCGTTGTGAGTGTTGATACCAAGATAGACATGTATTTTCAAGCGAATGACTTTACGCTGCGTTGTGAGTGTTAATGGGCAGCCTTGGTGAGCGACTTCTTGAAAGCACGGCAATACCCATCTATGGCCCGGCTTCGGGCTCTTGCTTGCGATGGTGCTTTGCCTGTTATCTCAGCGTATCTGTTACAGGCAGCCAGGACCGCGGTTGTCTACTGTGGCCAGCCTTTCGTCGGTGGGACATGAAGGTGCGCAAAGGTTGAAAGAAAGACCGCTTGCCCTGACGTTCCTGCCGATGAACTGAGAGGACCTGCAGAGGTACCGTCGTTAGATCTATAAGTAGGTTGGGTAGCTTACCCATCAGTTGGAGGTGCAACTTCGGATCCATCATCCAACTTCATGTACTTCATAGAGTCACGTCTGCTTTGCTGCCGGACACCTACCTTGTGCTCCTAGTGGAGCTGCTGTGATTTCGCAACCTTGTACGCTCGCTTCCTCAAAGGTGCGTAGGTAGAAATCTTTTCAGATAAATAGGTACGTTTGAGCATCAGCAATCTTGCCTTTCAATTATTCGTCATCCCCAACGCCACCATGAAGCAGGGCGAATCCCTTCCTCTCCACCACAGTAAGCCCACCTCTGCAACTGAAAACCCAACCAGGAGTTTAGACTGACACCAAAGACAGGGATCTTGCTGCAAAGACACCGCCATCTACGCAACATCATTACAATATACCACGAACCCCCAAACAGCGAAGAACCATATGTCTCCTCCTTGACGAACCTAACCGATGTGGTCGCCAAAATCCATCGGCGCAGCAACCAGCAAAACAACTTCCACCGCTTCCAACATCTCCCCGTCGAGCTCCAGATTGAGGTCTGGAAATGGACGCTGGTAGAGCCACAGGTCTATTACTTCTCAAGGGCGCACCGTCAAAGGGATCGGATATTGGGTCCACAGCCACGCTCTGCGCTACTTGTCTGCGCATTGTCAAGACAGATTGCGAAAGAAACCCTCTGTCGGATGCCGCAAACTATGCGCACAAGGGACACGCGTAAAGACCAGGGCTGGATCTACGTTAGCCCTGCTACCGACTTGTTTTACAATGACTTATTCAACAGGCAGAGCCCAAACTGCCCAGAGTCCTGGAAGAAAATGGCCAGCGGCACGGCTGTGATGAAAAAAACATACGAGCATACAGTCGCCTGGTATCCGATTAAATTGACCAAGCTGGAAAAGAATTGGTTCGTGAAGGAGTACTAATGATGTTCCGTCAGATGCATGTATCGATAAGATGTTTGGACAGGTTCGATTGTTCTGAGACTGGGAAATTCGCAGCAAATACGCTCCAACAATTAGGACAAGTCGCCAATATATTATATGATGTTCCCCAAAACCTATCCTGTCAAATCCAGGGCTTGATCGACTCAACCGAGAATTGCAACCACAAACTTAGACTATTGACGAGCTTGAGATACCTAGATACATTCCGTCCAAACTTGCTGGTTCAAGGAGACTTGAACATGTTGCTTGAAGCAAGCTTTGCTCAGAGTTGAACCGCCGTTGCCGTGTGTCCCTCTTAAGTCATGCATCCATGAGGCCGAAGGTTGGTCCACATGAATGCTCGCTGCTGAAGCTAGCCTCTGCACCGATGCGGCACGGTCGAATACAACCTTCCTAAAAGATCAAGTCTCTCGCGCCACTGGCACCCACACACGACGTCAAAGCCATGTCACGTAGATTTAGTCCTTGCTCTAGTGTGCGTTCGGTGATGCGCAAGTCCGATCTAGACAACAAATGTTACCCTGAAGACCTATTGGACAATAAATCACAGCATGGGTATCACACAGGAGGACGAAAGGTGAAGCCATTTGAGGTCGTGGGAAGATTGATACCGTGGAAATATACGGTGCTAGCCGGACACACAAAGCCCTTCGTCGTCCTTAGTTCGATGGTCTAAGGCCGAATCCGTGTGGAGACTTCAGGTCTCCATTCAACATCCTGGGTCGGATCTCACACGGGGTGCTCGATACTCGATCGCTCTAGAGAGAGACTTGCGCTGTGATGCCTGATCAAGGCAAAGTATGCCACGTTCATAGAATCAATCACGCAGTCCCAAATCTCCGTCATCGCACACAGAGCCCCGTAAGGCGAATCGAGGCAGTGTCTATAGTGCCGATATCATCATCTCCAAAGGCTGAGGTGCGTGATGTACGTACAGAAGATCCACGCGATCACCCGCGTGGAGACCTCCAAGACGGGGGTTATCAGTCACAGGTTTCGGCATACCCAGAGACTCGGTCGCCATGCTACCGTATGAAGTCATTGCTGGTACTGGATCGATGGCAGCTTTTCGACAGGGGGTTTGGGTTGGAGAAAGGGCGAACTTTCTGTGGAACCAGTACCAACGTGGCAGTCAGCACAGCCTTCCCTCCAATGGAACCTTTGCATCGACAGTACCAGCGCCTCCTCGCTACTGTTCTGACACGCAGCAATTGTGCATTAGCACGTCTTGCGGGATTGGCCTCCTGTTTCCCCTAATCTCTCTGCGTGGGGAAGTGAGACAAGGCATTTCGCAAGGCAGGGCGCTGAACGTCCCTACGGTCGGAGCTCGCGATGTGATGCCTGGCATGGCGCTCATCTGGCGGTCGTGATTGCTGTGCATCAGACCTTGGAGTAGTCGCAGATGATGTAGGCGGGACGTCAACTCATTAGCCGTAGCTCATACTGGTGGGCAGTAGCGGACATGTCCGATATTGATGCAGCAAATCGGATGCCGTTTGGTGATATCCCGGCATGAACCAAATTCACCATGATACTCCCCCGTGCCTCCGAATCGTTATACGACCCTGATGGCCAGCCAAAGATTCCAACTTGAGAGACATTTACGAGCTTGAACAGCCTACTTCCGGAGCGTTTCGTCCTTACGCGGTGCCTCTGTCTGATAGCGACAGATGGGGAGCGTGTTAGTCGCTGAGGGCGTCTTCTAGATATCGTTCCAGACTTTACAGTCTCAGTTGACACCGGCCCGCGATAGTCTTTACCGATTAACAAGGGCGGTCTCCAGATTCCCGGGACTGGCAAGGGGCATCCTAAGTTTCGGGTTGGTGGCTGGAATTGACATGCTTTACCGGCGCATCCCTCCCATACCAGCGGAGCGGCCACAGGGTCCGAGACGGGTTGGACGACCGAATGTGATAGAAGAGTGCGCCAATCAATGTCCACCATAACTGGAAAAGAGAGTGAGACGCACCTCCGCGTCTCGGACCCTTAATGGGGCCTCTAGGGTCATTCCCAGGCGGAGAGGTAGGGCGCAGCTCGAGATGGTGTCGAGCGCAATATTGCCGTCAAGCATGCCGGGCCCAGTAACGTTCGCTGAAGCGTCGACAGGGCTGAAGAAGATGCAGAGAAGGCGCGCAATGGGTCATGGACCATGTTTGGAAGGCTTCTATGCGTTGATGATGGGGCAAGTGGCTAGGATCGCAAAGCGGAGTGGGTGAAGGAGAGAACGTGACTGTTGACTGATGGCTGAGCATTGGCGCTAAGGCAGGCGATATGTAGGCATATCCAAGGGTTGTTGAAGTGCGGTCATTGGATGTAACAAGGAGGCCGCCCCGGACAGTAACTCTAGGGGGCATGGTGGTCTTTTTGCATGGCGGCAGGCAAAGCAGGGCATCAGTGACGCTCTTTGGGAATTGTAGGGCTGAGATGGAGGGTGCAAGGTCGTCTCGAGAGGCCTGGCCGAATGATGAGTGCATCTGAACCCCAGCGGAAGCGGGCCGGAATGGGTTGCATGTGGCGCAGCTGACAAGGCCAGCAAGAGCGGTGAGCAGGATGCTGCAAGCTTTCGATTGATAGGAAAATTCATTACTTTGACGAATAAGAGATGGGAGTGTTGATATTGAGTCGACCGTATAGAAACTTGACGGTACTTGAGCTGAGATGAAGTGTCCCTGCGTCGATGCGACGGCCTGGATGGTTAGTTGCATGGACAACGACAGCGATCAGGACACCTTACAGGAGAAAGTAGTACACCTTCCAATGGCGCCTTGGGTAGGGTCGTGCGAGGATCTCGCATCTGAGACCACAGAGCATCCGGATATGTGTTTCTCTTCGTGATGTTGTAAGTGGCCAAGATGCGGTTCTGTACGCTTGACGCGCCATGTGCAGCTCGTAGAACGGCAGCAAAGAAGCTTCGGATTGCTGGGGCGCCCCACGAACGCAGATGAAATCATTGGAAACAACAAGTTGATGAAATTTCTCGACCGTCTCCGGGATATCTTCCAAAGACTGGTGTTGTTGTGAAATATGACAGAGGTTATTCTGATGTAAGGTCGGCCGATACTGAGGTAGGTGTTCAGCGTCGGCGGGCGTCCAGGGCGGAGCCGACAGTGACATGAGCATTTGCGGCCATCGCAGGCTAGCGGGAGCTACGGCCTAGGCTCTTCCTTGGTTTTCCTGCTAGACATTACTAGACAGGAACGAATTGCCTAGCACGAGCCTGAGGAAACGGGCCGCTCGCATCCATCTGCCAATGAGCCGCGTTAGCTTTGCTCCAGATCAGGAGAAAAGTCGTTCCTGCTATGGGGGCCACGGGGGAAAGAGGCGCACTCGTGCAGTTGCCATCTTTGCGGACCATCAGCCATGCAAGCCAAGACCGGCCTGTGCCTCTTCTGCAAGTCACTGAGACTGACTCAAGGAGCGGACGCGACCTTGACATTGTTTCCCGCTGACAAAGCCAATTCTTCAAGCGGTATGGCGGCATGGCATGTTGATTCCGAAAGTTGTCATGCGTTTACTTCTTCTGGCCTGTTGGCAATTGCGAGACAACGGCCATGTCATTATGGGGTTTCCAAGCCGGTGGGGTTGCCTGAAGCGTTCACGATGGTCGAGACCAAGACGCTTGTATTGCCCGGTGACGGGACGGCCCTTGGTCCTGCCAATGCTTGTTTCTTGCTCTTCACGAGGAGACAAGACAAAATTGCATCAAAATCAGGCGTCTGAGAGACGCGCCGTTTGCAAATGTTCATCACGAGGAACCTCGCCCGGTCTGGATGCCTTGCCGGGGGCCTTTCCAACGATATTTCCTCGTGTAAAGCATTGCTTTCAGCATGTCCAGTCCGCCGCCCCACAGACGTCATCTTGGCCTTCGCGATTTTGAAGGAAATCGCCGTCAGGTGAATAGGCCGAAAAGAATTTCATGAGCGGAGGAGATTGCGTATAAAGAAAATCGAAATTCAGTCGTTGTGAGAAAAATAAATGGAAATTCCCTGAGCTATTCAGCTACCGCCCAGATGTCGTCCTTCAGCCTAGTCACCATCCTCTTGGTGTCCGGCCTCCGGGCCCTCGCTGCCGCCGTACCGAGTGCAGTGCTTGACGGCGTCATCCCCGGACAGTATATCATCCGTCTGAAGCCCGGTCTTCAACCTGCTGAATTCGAAAGCCACATGGTATGGGCGACGGGGGTACACAAGCGCAGTCCTGGACGGCGGGACACCACCGGCATTGAAAAATCATTCAACATCGGCGCCTTCAACGCTTACACCGGTAGCTTTGATGATGATAGCATTGCTGAGATCGGTGCTGGAGAAGAGGTGCTATCCGTCGAACCCAATCGCATTGTAGAACTCGACGCCTTTTACACCCAGTGGAATGCACCTTGGGGTCTTACAGCCTTGTCTTCGCCAAACCGCCTGCCAGACTCGAGCGATACCGGCTCATACGTCTATGACAGGTCGGCGGGGGAGGGCGCGTTTGTGTACATGCTTGACACAGGCGTGCAAATCTCGCATCCCAACTTTGGCGGCCGCGCCGTTAGGGGCTACAACGCGCGGCCAGAGGAGGCATTCGATGACCTCGGCGGGCATGGAACCCACACCGCAGGTATCGTGGGGTCTCAGACGTATGGCGTGGTAAAAAAGGCGACAATCGTGGCTGTTAAGGTCCTAGCGGGCGGTGTAAGTGCGAATCCTTGCCGCGTCTGACAACCGCAAGTCTTGATCGGCGCTAACAAAAGCGCCACCACCAGGGCTTGGGCACTGTTGATACTGTTCTTGACGGGTACAACTGGGCTGTCAACAACATCACGCAGACGCCAGGACGACTGGGAAAGTCTGTCATTAGCATGAGCCTCGGTACTGGAGCCCGTCCCTCTGAATCCTGTCGGCCCCATAATTGACATCTTATTTCAGGCTTCACCGTCAGCTCGCAGACGTCGGCTCTCGATGACGCAGTGAAAGCTGCGTATGATCTTGGAGTCGTGACTGTAGCTTCCGCGGGTAACTCGAACCAGGATGCAATCGGACGTTCGCCTGCAAGGGCGGAACAAGCATTCACAGTCGGTGCGGCGAACTGGGACCGGACCCGGGCGGCGTTCAGCAATTATGGGTCTTCGGTCAAGATATTTGGGCCCGGAGTCGGCATCAAGTCCCTTGGTCTCAACAACGGATACGCCACAATGTCTGGTACATCGCAAGCTGCGCCTTATGTCGCGGGCCTTATCGCGTACCTGATGTCCAAGGAGGGTCTCGCCACCCCCAAGGCAGTGTTGGACAGAGTGAAGGAGCTGGCGATCGATGGTGTGGTGCAGGACACGAAAGGCTCTGAGAATTTGCTTGCATACAACGGCCGGCAGGGCGTCATCCAAGGCGTTGCCCGCAGAGCCAAGAAAATTCGGTTGGTGGTGTAAGCCTACAGACACAGCGGTGCGTGTGACGATTGGTTGACCGAGGAATGACGCAGATGCGGCATGGGCCGACGATCAGCCGTGTTGAAGAACGTCGAGATGATGTCCGAGAAGGACTTTGAATGGTTTAGCGGCGAGCCCGTAGAGCTCGCGTATCATATCATCAAGAGTTGCTTTGAATCTGACTCCAGCAACGTGGACCTGACTGGCTGCCTCACCAAGACACAATAAAATGACCTTACGGCACTCGTGAAAGGTAACTGCACTCGCCAGAGTTCTGATTCCGTAAGGCACGTTATTTAAAGCGGCCGCTTGGTAAGCTCGTAAGTCCATGCCGGCCCCAAAGCGGGACGGGATTGATTGTGAGCGGCAGAGATGATGAGTGGTCGGAGGGAAAGTACTGCGTGAGAGTTGGGAGCTATTGGCAGCGGCAGCGGGTGTATTCTCCGTTGGCGGCCGGAGGTTGAGGCGTACCGTGTTGTATGTAGGTGTGGTCTGTCGAGAAATGCGCACGTGCGGGTGAAGGTGCAGGCATGGGGCATCATCGGTGGTGGCATCTCGATACCCCCTGGTCGCTCTCCACTTGCCGTTTCTCTCTCCCCTGGTCCATGTGGTCGTTTCTGATGAGTCGTCCCCAAATGATCTCTGGAGACACATTTCCTGCAGGGCTTAGCCGCCGGGCAGGAGGGAGACTGCACAAACAAACAGCATAGCCACGAACGCCCAAGCCGTGCATTGTGCTAACTTGCTTCTGGAGTCATTAGTTGAGGAAAAGAAACATGGCCGAAGGCGTCGCCGACGCTATGCAGTAGGCCGAACGGGCGGGAGGGAGACGGAGGCAGAAGCGAACAGGCCGGGAAGGCGAAGGACGGAGAGATGCACAAAGAGGGCGAGCTCGGCGAGGAGAATGTGGTGAAGACCGAGAGAAGTGGTGGTGGTGGTGGTGGTGGTGGTGGTGAAGGGCGAGGGTGCTTGGTGGGAGTGAGTGCGAGGGCGAAGACACCACGACCATGGAGGGAAGGAGTGGGGTTCGAACTGGAGGAGGGAGATCTGGAGACACACTGAAGGTGCAAGGTGCAAGGTGCAAGTGGACCGTGCTCTTTCCTTTTCCCCTTCTTTTTGGACTGGAGCGTGGACCGGCCGGCCTGGCCCTTCTTCGGATGCTGTTTCTAACCAGGAAGTCGCTGTCACCGCACAACGCACTTTCCCAAATCTCCTCCACGTCCTCGCTGAGGCCACCTCATGTCGAGGTATCCGTAGGCATGAAGCATTCATTCGGCAAGAGGCGACGTCGTCCACGTCTCCTAGCCGCTTTTCTTTTTCCTCTTGGCTCTAGCTGTCTGGCTAGAGGCACCTTAGCTCCCCCCTTCAGCAATGTACCTCGAACGGCGTCTCTGCCATGCAGTACACGCAGTGCCGCAGTACCTCTCCCGTCGCACCAGAGGCACAACGACGAGTGCGGAAAGCGTCAGGTACCGATTGGGGCAAGTTCCCAACCAAAAAACCAATAACCCGCCCAAGTATCCTCTCCCACCCTTGCACCTGGCCGGGCCTAGCACAACGGGTAAGGTACCTCCCGAGGCCAGTCGCCAGAGGGAAAGGTACGGATACCGTCAGGTACCTTGCCCTCTCATGCTCAGACGGGACAGACAGCTGGTGTCCCGTTACACCAAACCACGTACGACTGGCAAACTACTTGTGAGACGTCCAGTTTCCCCTCGTGCTCGCTGCTCGTTCAGCGATCCTCTTATGCTGGCTGGAGAAGGATGATGATGCATATGCTCGCTCATTCATGTCATTTTCATCTGGTATCTCTTCGTTCAGCACATCTCAGTTACAGACACCAGAAATGCCTTGTCTGCTTCGGGTCTAGGTACGGCATGGTACGCACCACGCACCACGCAGCACGGCGGCCGGACGCCTTGTCTCGCCTCCCACTGCCCTGGAGGATTGCATTTACTTGCCCGCCTACCTCACCTAGTAAAGAACAAACATTACTGCCACTTGTAGGAAACAGAGACGGGCCAAGCGCCGGCCAGACAAGATGGACGGACAGTGCTCTCTGTATTTGTACAGTACAAGACGACGAATACTCGCAATAACTATCAACCCCCGTCCATGTCCGACCCCGACCCCCGACCCATCTCCATCGTGCCAGTTCCAACTGTCCAGTCCTTTTGTGTCCCATCTTTCACTGCTCTTGGCCAAGCTTGGGTGTGTTAGTCCCTGTTGGTTTGGCCTGGTCTCGACAGATTCCTCTCGGCACCTGTTCTTTTCACACAATTGCTTTCTTTTCATTCTTCAACTAGCCATCCATTCCGCGGGTGCCTTTGCTCGCCACTATCGGCCCTCAAGATAAGTCTTTGCGACGACGCGACTTCTGCCGTCTCCTGAATCACGTTTGCCATCCATCATAAGCATCGCGGATCCCTGATGCCCATCTCCAGCATTTCGATGCTACCTCATCCCGTCAGCCCGCCCATCGGTACATGCTCTACAACGACGACAGCCTGGGAAGCAGCTGCATGCATTGCAGTGCAGTACAGTACAGTAACGTCTCCCTCAAGCCCGGCGTGCTGCTGGTAACTGTCACTGCTTGAGATCTGCCTATAAACTGGCGGCACTTCCCTCCACCATCACCGCCGCACCACACCATAATCGAAGAAACATCCCGGTCCACGTCTGCTGCGTCTGCTGCCCAGTACCAAGCCTCCCTCTAGCTCCTAGCTGCCTACGACCTCCACATCGCAATTCATCCCATCGCTTGGCTTCCTCTCTCGTGGATCTCGGTCTCCCCCTACCGCTACCACACCACGCATCACGCACCACGCACCACGCACCAGCATTCAGACACACCACGAAGACAGTACATTCGGCTCCCCCTCACCCCTGGTCCTTGTGGACCGAGCTACTGCGTAGTGCTTGCTGCTCCATCAACCGCCAGTGGCCAGTGGCTTGTGTTGTACCTGCTGCGAGTGTTGCGCCGCCGCCAGCTACGAGTGCCCAGGTCCACGCTCACACGCCTTCCGCCAGCCCTATATTACTCTATCGTCCGTCGCTCCCGGCCCCCAAACTCCTTCCCGCCGCGAGTCTCTTTCAAGCCCTGTCATCGCGCATAGAACCAGCAAAAACACACACACATACACTCCGAGCCTTACAAGACAAACGCTCCCCTCTCGGCGCTGGGGTTTTCATCATATAATCAACCAACGCTGCCCCCGAGTTGGCTTCTCCACCGCTCTTGGGCCTCGATCTCCATCGCTATCTCGACTTTCTTCTCCCATCCTTACCACGGCCTTAGTCATGTAAGTGTCTAGCGAACGAACCGAGGGATGACCCCGTCTCGTAGCAGATCCCTCCCCGCCGGGCCTGTTCCCCGTTAAGGCCGACCCTACGCTAGGCTTGAGTGCCCTGTCTAACCGCCGAAATCACAGACCACCCGTCATCGCGCCGACCCTTAGCGACCCTCTCCCGCCCGCCCACCTCGTCCGAAGAGCTCGCGATTTCCCTGCATTCCGTCCAAACTCCTATTTGCTTCAACTCTACCACCGCAAGTCGTTCCTTGCTACAATCGGACGAAATACATATTGTGCGGCCCCGAGCCCAAGGCCATGCATGCGTATGCGTATGCGTGATCCCTTCGGCTACAATTCGCACTCCCCCTAAATTCCCAACAATGTCGTCCCCAAACCAAGCCGATGCCAACTCGGCAAACTCAGTGTCTTCGTCCAGTCCGACCTCCGACTCGCAGCAAAAGCCCAAGAGGGCGCGAACCAGCAAACCCAAGGTCAAGACAGGTTGCAATAACTGCAAGTACGTCACGAATCGCAGGCATTCCTTTCCTCGGAGAACAGCTTCTAACTTCTATCCTCAGACAACGGCGCATCAAGTGCGACGAGAAGAGGCCTTCCTGTTCCCAGTGTGTTCGCTCCAAGAAGATTTGCACGGGCTACCCACCGCCGAGTCGCAGCGCAAGACCTCACGAAGTTCTCGCCATTGCGCCAAAACCTCTTCTGGCTGCTGCCCCGAATGGCGGGCCTCCCATCCGCTCATCAATCGAACTACCGCCTCGGAGAGCCCAGAAGTTGCAAGCACGACGCACAACGCCCCCTCAAACACCCGACTCTAGCGCCTCTGTTACACTTTACCGCCCAGCGGGCAATCTCCAGCTTTCTCAACAGGAGGGACTCTATTTCCAACTCTTCCGCTTACATACAGCGAATGAGCTGTCTGGATACTTTGACTCGGTGTTTTGGACTCGGACCGTTTTGCAGGAGTGTCACTCCGGGAACGCAATTCGCCATGCAGTGGTCGCGCTAGGTGCTTTGTACAAGACCCTTGAACAATCATGCGAGTCTCCGCCGGGATCGCCGTCCGATTCGTTCAGTCCCGCGGACGGGGCATATCGCCACTGGGAAGTGGCAGTCAAGCAGTACTCTGAGGCTATGAACTCTTTAGTCGATCTCAGCCGCGACCAAAAGTCTCACCGCACATTACTCATGGCCAGCGTGCTTCTAGCATGCTTCGACTCCTTCATTGGCGACCATAAACAGGCAATCAGGCAAATTCAAACAGGCCTTGGTTTGTTGGAAAAGCTCCGAGCTGAACGGAGGAGATCCTTCCTAGCCGTCTCTGAGGAGCCGGTCGAGGAGGAGCTCATCACCATGTTTACCAGGCTCGCGATCCAAGCGAAATCATACGACATGGCGTTCCATTTCCCAGAGCCGTTCGTAATCCGACTGACCCCTCAGAATCCCGAATACCCGCAGTCCCCGCCATCAGATGCTGGCAGCTCACCGTCATCCATGAGCTCTAGCTCCATGCCTGAACAATTCTTTACTCTGATGGAGGCGCGCAGTGCCTGGGACAAGCTTCTCGAGAAAATGCTTCGATTCACAGAAACTCTTTTCATCTACCAAAAGTCGACTGGCGCGAACGGGCCAATGGGAATCCTGCCCAAGTCGTTGAAGCAGTACGGAATGAGTTTCAAAGGCCAACTCGACGCTTGGTCTGAGGCTTTTGAATTTCTACTCGAATCTCGCACAGCTCCTGGCGTCAGTCATCATGAGAAGGCCGGAATCGCTGTTCTGAAGATGTTCCAAATCATGAGCCAGATACTATTTCTCATGACTTATAGCGACAGTGAATCACAGTTCGATCTATTCCAACCTCAGTTCAAGGCTATTGTCGACCTTGCCTCGGAAGTAGTGGGTGACGAGGAGAGACGAGCAGCGGCAAAGAGATGTCCCGATCCCGCTCTCTGCCCTCACCGACATGGCCACTCTCCGGACATCTTTGGCGGCAACGCATACAGCACATTTCACATCAAGCCCAGCTTTAGTGCCGATCTTGGAATCGTTCCCCCTCTGTTTGTGGTGGCTACCAAATGCCGTCACTCAATCATTCGACGCCAAGCTATCCAGCTTCTGAGCAGCAGCGCTCGCCGGGAAGGCATGTGGGACAGTGAGTTGACGGCGCGCATTGGGCAATGGGTTGTGAATATTGAGGAAGAGGAGGACAAGATAACATCGCCGCCGCCTATGATGGGTCATTCGAATGGCAGTGCCAGGCAAGGCTCAGTCGACTTCGCTGAGGATGTACCTCTCGGGCCTGGTGGCAACGCTCGTTGGGACGCTCGAAGGGACAGCGTCATTCCGGGCCTCATGAAGTCGAAGCGGTCCGTTCCTGAGGAGAAGCGCGTTATGGTCCGCGCCGTGGACTTTGATCTGAGGTCGAGGTTTGCCAACTTACAGGTTGGTACTCGCGGCATCATTCCTGGGTCGCCAGACCTTAGATCCCGGGTGACCAAGTTGACGTGGTGATTGAGAAAATGGTTTTGGCTACACTTGTCCAGGGACGGCGTTCTGGTATTCTGCGATCTTATTCTTGATATACCCCGGCGATTTGCGAAGCACAGAGGTTGATATATCCCCCAACTCATCTACCCCATCTACCAACCATATCCATGCTATGATGACTTACGACTGGGGAACTGTTTCCTAAGGAGGGTATAGAGGGTGAAGAGAGACGATTTGGCTGGCTGGCCAATCTGGATATGAAGCAGTGCCACCGCCAAACAGAGGCGGTAGGCAGCTGCTGCATGTGATGGGAGTTTGGGCCATGGAAACGAAGGGTCAAAACTTGGACTGCGCAAGCAATAATAGTCCCGAAAATATATTGCCTGTTAATATCTATAACGTACATGTTCATAATGTTATGAGGCCGCCAAACTTGACAACTCCAAATCTTTTGGTCTCGATGATGTTGAGGAAGTTTCGAGCCCACCCAGTAGAGGGTTTCACAATACGAGAAAAAGCTTGGTCTCGATGATATTCATCACACAAATCTCGGTTCGATCAGACTTTTGAGGGTTAGCTGGCTCAACTCAGACGATATCCTTCAAGAGAAGAGGATGCTGTCCACTTTCACATGCGACGATTCCATCCGTGTCCAGTGGTGTTAAGCAGCAACGGCAACACCAAGTCCATCTAGCTTCGCATTACTCTCAAGACGTCCTCGGTCAAATAGAGGCTGATATTGACAAGCTGCCGCTCAACCTCGTGCGAGAGACCGGTGACCAACTTCATGTTTTGCAAGTACCGGAGTGTACATATAGCATCATGGCTTGGCAAATAGGGCAATGCTGACTTGGAGAAGAATCCATAGGCACATGGTCAGCTTTCGTCACGCTTGCTTATCGCGAGAAATGGCTTGCAACGAGTCGATGATATTTGCTTCTCAACAGCAAATGACCGAAGACAGGTTTACCTAGGGCTAAGACCTGTTCAACTCGCCATACAAGGCTCACACGACGCGTCTTTGGCTTCGGTTGTTATGATCAAAGCTAGTTGACCACGGAAGAAAAATGTGGCGTCCGACAAGGGTTCTAACTTTGGTCGAGATCAAGCTTGTTTGAACATGTTACCCTGGTTCCAATTGAGTTCATAGCCAGAGTGTGTACTTAGTCATTCTCGGAACGGAAAAGTCTGCGTGATCGGGGACCAGAAAGCCGGTCCGAGACTTGTCGACAGGAACATATGTTATTTGTTTAATTACAAGAACCAATGAGTGTACCTTGTTCACCCCCTGAGTGTTCACGTGCGTTTCCCGGCAACGCCAACCTGGGATGTTGCTAGTTAACTGGAGATCGAAAATCATCATGGTTGAGGTGTTTCTGAGTGAAGGCACTTCGTCTACGCCTCCCTAGCCATTCATTCTGCGTGCTTGCAGAAGAAGATGTTGTGAGAATCATGCCGCACATAATCTACGAGATTTCCATACCGTCTAGAAGTGATCGGTGTTGACTGCGGTGTAAACAAAAATTTTTGTCGTGGTGACATCCCGTGGGTGAGGGGCGGTATGACCCTCTTACTACCTACCCACCGACTAAAGTCGAGATTCCGTCCTCCGGCTCGTATTAGTGCCGTTCACGAAGATCTCTTTCTGCCATGATCCCAGGAATTGAGATTGACAATATTTTCAGAAAGCCCTTCCCTTCCTTTGACCTGCAGGGATATTGTCCCAAGGTTTGTTTACATCCTCGAGAACTCAGCTGTTACCAGACGAGTGAAGGAGCCTCTTGCACGTTGTCTCTCTCAACTCTTGCAACTGCCTGCTCTGCCTGCAATCACTCATCACCTCTCAAACTGAACATACGACTGTCAAGCCCAGCATCCTCAATGTCAAACATCGTGAGAATTTGGCAGAATCTCACAGAAGCCGCGACCAGCTCAAGTCTCAACGCGAGAGGGGACAACATAAAAAGGCAACCCCTCAGTGGACCTCACTTGGTCATGGAGAAAAACAACAAACTGCCAATGGTGGTTAGCACGAATTCCGCATAACAAAAGTTGGCAGCGGTCTCCTGGTAAGGCCAGGGCGGATACCGGTGCAATTGCCGCTGGCTTAGGCAAAAAGAAGAAAATGTTCTTCGGGGCACGACCGAATTTTTCACAAGATTGAGTGTGACTGGCGATCAAGAAGGCACCGGGTGGGAAATTGATGTGGGGGAATCACAGTTGTGGACTTGGTACAAGTTGGTAGATGTGGGTTAATTAGAAGAGAGAGAAAAAAAAGTGAGCGATGTTCCTGTAGCAGCCACAGAGAGGACCCGCCCCAGGGTCTTAAAAGGACCCCTGATTTTCTGCAACGCCTTTCACGAGAGCTTAACAGAGACAAGCCAGAAAAGCACCCAAGAAATGGCTTTTCTTCGCTGCTTGGTGTTAGTGAGAAAGGCATCTATCTGCACCAGTACCAAAAACGACATTCCTCATTGGGCCAGGCCCAGACAACATCCATGTCCATCACCAACCAGCTCTGTGGCTGCCCCGCCAAAATTCTCCGTCTCTGATCCAGTCGTTCTGCGCTGGCTGCATCGTTGCGCAACCTCTCATTGATGGGAAGACTGGACTAGGGTGGCCTCCTCCTCCTCCTCTTCTGAAAAGTTCGAGATCAACAGGGACGTGGGACGTACCCAATGACATCAGTCACCGCCTGGGAAAAAAGACCACCGACTAGGGAAGGCAGCGTGCAGGAAGCTTGCACCGAGGGGGAAATTTTTTCTTCTGGTCGTCGTCGAACCCCACGTCAGTCCAGTCGGGTCCCCTCGTCACCTGTCCGTCCCTCCTCATGCTGGGTGATGAATTTTTTTTTTCACGGCCCATCCATAATAAATCACAAAAGTGTTGTAATTCGTGACGATTTGCTAAGCAGACTGCACTTGCGATTCATATTTAAGCGGTGATCCCCAGTGCGAGGCGACCCCCTTCCCAGTTGTTCCTTCTCATCTTGCGCTGCCTGATCTTTCCTGCTACCCCTCCATAATCAATACCCCGCCACGGTGAAATCTCAAAAACACACTTGAGCTTCACCCTTACCACACACGTTCACTCTCTTTTTCAATCCTTTACCGATTCTTCATTACAACCGCCAAAATGGTCGAGATGATTGAGACTGGCGTCACCTACGAGGAGCTCGCCGACATCGAGCGCGAGTTCGAGCAGGTCGAGACTGAGATGCGTAAGTTTTTGCTCCCTCCCTCACACACTCTCGTCGCCTCCTTTTCTTTCGAGCCCTCAGAAAAATCTGTAATCTCACACGCCCTCCCCGCCTTCTAGTCCGCCGCCAGTACGAGCTCTCTCGCCCTCTGTACGAGAAGCGCGCCGCCATCGTCGCCAAGATCCCCAACTTCTGGGCCCTCGTCTTCGAGCAGTCTCCCCCTGAGATTGACGAGTACATCCAGCCCCAGGACGCCGCCCTCCTCCTGGCCTCCCTCAAGAACATCTCCGTCTCCCGCTTCGAGCTCGAGAACGGCCAGAACGGCGACCCCCGCTCCATCGCCATCCGCTTCGAGTTCGGCGACAACGAGCACTTCGAGGACAAGGTCCTTGAGAAGAAGTTCTGGTGGCGCACCTCCGAGAACTACACCGGCCTCGTCTCCGAGCCCGTCAACATCAACTGGAAGGCCGGCAAGGACCTGACCGACGGCCTCCTGACCGCCGTCCAGAAGGTCTGGGCCCAGGGCGGCCCCGTCCTCTCCGGCAAGGGCAAGCCCGCCCCCACCCCCGAGGCCCAGGCCCTCAAGGCCAAGATCGAGGAGACCGGCATGGGCGGCGTTTCCTTCTTCTGCTGGTTCGGCTACGTCGGCAAGCGCATCTCCGCCGAGGAGAGCGCCGCCTTCGCCGCCAAGGAGGCCGACGAGTTCAACCGCCGCAAGGCCGGCGAGAAGGTCGAGGAGAAGGCCGACGAGGACGACGACGACGAGGAGGACGAGTTCGAGTACGAGATCTTCCCCGACGGCGACGACATCGCCACCGCCATCGCCCAGGACCTCTGGCCCGACGCGCTCACCTACTTCAGTAAGTTCATCCGCTCGCAGGGCGCCGCCGCCGCCCATGGTGATGGTGACAGAGACTTACTGTCCATGATAGCGCAAGCGCAGGAGGCCGGCGACCTCAGCGACGCCGAGTTCGAGACTGACGAGGACGACGACGATGAGGAGATGGGTGACGCGTAAATGTGCTTGGAAGGCAAGGAGAGGCGCGCGCGCGGTTGCGGCAATGATGTGATGACGTTTGGAACATTAGATGGTGATACCACATAATCAGTCAGCCCTTGGATGGGGACCAAAATCAAAAGCTTTTTCGTTTGTTATAACTATTACGTCCCATTACAAGTGATCTTGATATTCTTCATGTGCAGACCGATTCTCATGCCGCCATCTCGTGCCTGGACTGTGGCCCATGTGAGCCAGGAGGCACCCCATAGTTCGCTGACAGCTCGCTGAGATTGTAAGACTGCGCTTCGTGTATTTCAGTCAAGGCCGGGGTAGTATGCGCGGTGCCGACTGAGCCAAACTTGGGCGCTGGGGAAGAGTCTGGCGCTGCCACTACCTGCCGCTTCCTCCGTCTCATGAAGAACAACGCCAGACCAGCAACGAGAACCAGTGCTGCGACTCCTCCAACGGCACCACCCACAATAGCACCGATGTTAGGGCCTGATGGCTGAGATTCTGATGACTGGGATTCCGTATCACCAGGCAATCCTACTTCGCTTGCACCATCCACTGTAGCGTTCGGGGACCCTGAACCGTTGATGAGCCACCAGTCGCCAACACAAAGGGTGTTCAGGTCTCACTTACATTGAGCAAAGAGCGCCTTAAGCTCCGGAGATGCCCACTTGGCCACGTTACCCTGGCTGTACCAATCTTTAACCACCTTGGGAGAGTCATAACCTCCCGCATTCGGATCGTAACGGTTTGTCCAGCGCAGTTCTGTCATGTCAAAGATGCCGAGACCCAAGGGCCATGGATCCGGTTTTGAGAATCTCTTGCCGATAGGTATTTCAGGAAGTAAACCGCCAACAGAGAGCATTTGTCGTCCACCAATTACCGTACATGCGTGATCTGCGCGTTGCGTCGAAAGTTTGTTGTCTGCCTTGAAGAAATTGAACCCAGGAAGGCTAAGGACATGGACCTCGTTCGAGGTAGCAACGGTTTTTGTCTCCCGACCTCCGTAGATGAAGCTGTTCAACGGGGATTTGTCAAATTATTGTCCCTTGGGTCGAGGTGCTTCACTTACATTTCGTAGGTGTTGTTGGGGCCAGGAGCACCCGTAATGCAAAACTTCTCTTTGGGAAACGGGTTGTCGCCCGTGGTTTGCTGGTAATACCACTGATCGCCTTCGGCATGTCAGCCCAGAGACATGATTTCAAATTGGAGATCCTGACCTCGGGGGTCATAGACCGAGATTTTGTCGAATGCCATCGCATCCCAGTTTTCGAAGCGAGTTACTGACACAGATGCCTCCCATCCGCCAAGGACTACAAGTAAACCTTCGGGGCCAAACGGCACAAATTGCGAGGAACCACCCTTAAATGTCCCGTGCTTTCCGAACCTGCTGGATGAAATATTTCGCATGTCGCGGGACTGCATGTGAAAAGACACGAGCCCAGGGGCAGGGCGGCCCTGGACATTTTGGGTACCGACGAAGTTGGAGTCCGTTTCCTTGCTAGTGAAGCCACCAAAGTAGTAACCGACATTCTTGCTCTGGGAAAACGTTCCCTCTCTCGTTCGATCGATAGTTTGGAGGTTGGGAGTAGTCACCTCTGTCCAGGTGCCTCCCCCGTTGTCGTCGGCACTGAATCGCATCATCTTCTTATCGGGAGGCATCGAAGTTTTCCAGCCGCCCCAAGTGTAGAAGGCGTTCGATGCAGGATCTTTCCAGATGGCTTGCCCGTTCAACACATTTGACGGGTCTTTCGGGGTTGTTTTCATCGTGACGTTTGAGGTGTCCCAATGCTCACTGAGGCCGATGGAGATGGTCGAGTTGACTATCGCGCAATTCAACATCAGCTCCATCAAAGTTTTGAGAATAGTATTCTGCATACCTGGCCATGATGGGTAGCTGTAAGTTTCGTTGTATTCGCCTTCGTATTGTGAAACTTCACCTCCGTCTATGTAGACGTACTGTCCGATGATAATGGCTTCGGGAAGTCAGCGAGTCCGTTCAGGGGAAGGAGAGCCAAGGTGCAACTTGCCTGAACAGTATGCTCTTCGCAAGAAGTTGGATGCAGGTGGGGCATCAACTAGCCCGCGAGGATTCATGGCGGAATTCCAAGGACGATCCATGCGAAGATACGAAGCTGCTTGTCAAAGCAAAAGAGCGAGGGGCTGGTACCGCATTGATCACGACGTTCATGACAGCCTTTCAGGAAGACGTGGGTGGGAGCCCTCTCTGCTGCGTAGGAGAGAATAGCCTTTCCGCTGACAGGGTTGGGAAATATGTCACGGGACAAGCGGCTGAGATTGCTGAGGCAGCTGAGACATGCTGATACGATTGCGCTTTCCTACCTTAATGCTATGCGGCCAAGATCTCGTTGTGCGACATCTAATATCGCAGGTAGTTGTACTGCCGACTTCCTCTTTGGGTACCTAGCCATGATAGTGTTCACGGGCAGGCTTTGCAAGGGATCCAGCCAATGATAGCTCGTTGAACTTGGTTGTGATTGGTACCAAGACTCAGTAATATACTTTTGATTAGGAAAAAGACTTCTGCCTAGCTAATGTAACCTTGCTTTCAGTATCATGAGGAAGGCTCGGAGAAGGATGCGGCAGTCGCAGCCAGCCTTTGGCAGGCTACTTTCTTTTTTTGATGGTTGGCATTACTGTGAAAGCCAAGACTTGGACCAGCTTGATACTTCAACTGCGACCAGCTTTGACAAAGGTTTGAGGCTCCAGTCCCGAGATATAATTTTTTTTCCGTGTCCATTTTCCGTGCGCTGGATCTGTGTTGATTTTACTTTCCTTTGGCTATCTAAAATCTTGTCTGCGACTCTTTGGCTCAGGAGGCTCACTCTCCGCTGACAACTCGACTGGTATTGAGTGACCATGAACCTCAACTGGACCAGATGAGGCATCCATCTCCAAAGGACTGGACTCCCCATGAAGCTGATGGGGCCCCAGTGTGTCTTGCTCTCCATAGGCTGTGGACTGTGAGCCATATTTTTGATATATCGAATCGGTAGCTTGGGGATCGTGCGGCGGGTGTTGGGGCGCCGCTGCGTGTGACTTCTTGCGTTTGATAACGACGACGGCAAGCCCAAGGAGAAGTGCCACCCCGAAAAGTCCACCAACCACCGCGCCGGCGATAGTTCCGGCGGTTGGTGAAGATGGGCGGCTTTCATCGCCGTCATTAGACGTGCCGTTTCTATCAGGTGTCGAAGATGGAACAGGAGATGGCAATTGATCCTGGGATGCTATTGCTTGATAAGTTAGGTTTCCGTTCTGGAGTCAGACTCACTTACACTTTAAGAAAAGAAGCTTCACTTCCTCATTTGCCCAGGAGACACTATTCTGCCCCCCTTCCTTATACCATTGCTTTACTATCTCTGGGGATTCGTACGCCGCATCATCAGCGCTATACCCATCCTTCCAAATCATCTCTGTCATGTCGAACACACCCAGACCATAAGGCCAGGGATCCGGTTCAGTCCATCCCTGGATGGCATTGGTACTACGAATACCGCCAATAGATAGCATCTGTCTACGTCCGACCACAACACAGGCTTGATCAAACCGCGGGGTGGAATCACCACTGGCTTTGAAGAACCTAAAGCCAGGAACGCTGAGAACGTAAACGTCGCTTAAAACACCCTGTTTACTACCCCAACCTCCGTAGATGAAGCTTGGCCGGAGAGTCAGTGTTGACTTGGTAACTGGAGATACTCTCACTTGGAACAACAGTCTACTCACACCTCAAATGTATTATTTGGTCCCAAGACGCCTGTTGTACAGAAGCGCCTCCTCGCTGCCGGCATAGGTCCAGTGGTATCTTGGGTGTACCACTTTTGGCCTGAGGTAGTGTCAGTGCAGATGCTCATGCTGAGAGATCATATACTCACCTTTGATATCGAAGAGAGTGACCTGGTTGAAGTCGATCTCCTTCCAATCGTCCTCTCTAGACGTTACAGGCGCCTCTTTACCGCCGAGAAAGAGAAGAACACCAGCGTCTCCGAAGGGCAAAAACTGCGAAGACCCTTCCTTGAAAGTCCCGTATTGGCCAAATTCACTCGTCGTGTTCTTGATTTCTCCGGATGTCATGTTGTAAGACACGAGTCCTGGGGTGGGAATGGATACATTCCAATCTGAGATGTAGTAGTCGCTCCGTCTCCTTACGATCCCTCCAAAATAGTATCCAGTATCGTTGCTCTGTGTGAAAGTTCCATCTGTTGGCCTTACTAGGTCTTGAAACGTATCGAGGTTGGAAGGCGGCGACTTTGCCCACTTGCCACCACCGCTGCCGTTGGCCGTGAAGCGCCATATTTCCTTGTCCGGGAGTGGGCCGTTGTAATGCTTTTCACCTGCCCAAGTGTAGAAATCATTCCCGGATGGTCCCAGCCAAACGGACTGGCTATCCAGCTTTTGAGAATCTTTGGGGATCGAATTCATCACAACAGATGAGGTGTTCCAGGATTTCTTCAGGCTTATAGAGATCGTCGAGTTAACTGAAACAATGTTCCGTTTGTGTGAGCGCCCTTTGTGTGCATTCAGTAACGGATTGATCTGAGTTCACCTTCACGGTATAGCCCCGCCCAGTCGTTGCTAGTAGCATTTTGCAGAGACGTCTGCGACATTAGGCCGCCGTCTATATACACATAGTCGCCCAGGACAGCAGCTCAACCAGGTCAGTGATTCTATGTATACATGCTGAGGAGTCAAGGGGTCTTACCTGAGCAAAAAGACCTTCGCAAGAAGGTAGACTTGGACGGTATATCTCGACGCGCCACGAGCCCAAGTCCCCCGAATAGGCTCATACAACGCGCTCCAGCCGCCATCCATGACCAGGGGCAAGTTGAGAGTCGCATCGTGTAAACCTTCTGTACGACAAATTGTTTTGGAGGGATTTTGAAGTGTCAGGTGGCAGATTTTAAAGAAAGGGCGCCCTGGGAACATGAAAGTCAGCATGAAGATACTTGCTCAATGGCAAGGCCGGGCATTCAAATGAAAGTTGTTTCAGGCAACCAAGACACAATGACACTGAAGGATTGAGCTATGATACAAGCATTCTAAGAGAGTGGCGAGCTTTCTTTGAGCACTGTTAAAAGCCACCAAGGCTGCCCAAGCCTGTTCGGCTGATTCTAGTCTTTCCCACACTACTCTGCGCATAGCAAGACAACTGCGGTGCAAAGGTTCCTGTGATTTGCCTTCAATACGCTCTTTTGAGGCCTGAGGTGCATTATCTCATGTACTTCGTTGAGGTACATCTGAGCTGGTGCAAGCGAATCCGTGGCCATGAGCTTGCATCCCTCTGCCTCATCGATTAGTGCCTTCCGCCGGAATGGGATAATGAAGGTATAGATGGAAATTCGAGGGAGACATCAACCCAGTTTCGGGCACTCTAGCCGCAATTTATTCGGCACCCCTAGTACTATATTTCAAATCGAAGTGCCATAGACAGACTTCTTTCTCCGTCATATCAAAACGGAGCGAAGAAACTGCAGCTGTTGATGAACTCCCCTCGGTGTTCCAACTATCACTATTTTGTTTACACAAATGAGCTTTTGTATGGCCTTGACCTTCGGAGGGATAATCAACTGCGTCAACCTGCTTGATCAGCCATGATGTTTGTGAGACAGGGGCTGGACGGCGATTTCCATTGAGGAATAGTTGCCAAGAAGGAGAACTTCGTGCGGTATGGACTGATCGACAAGGCAAGACTCTTCATACTGGCAATGGTCGCTATCAGCCTTGTGTCGATTGGACGACTCAGTTTCAACAGTAGTCCGGGAGCTGCTAGACGTCTCTTTCAAAACCCCATTTTGTCATAAGAAGAGGCTTTCTTTGCTTTTGGTAACACTTTTATAGGATGGGTTTTTTTCTCAAATTTGCAGACCAAAGCCGAATAAGACCCGTAGGCATGCTAATTTACTGCGCGTTCTAGGGACTTCGCCCTGATCACTCCTCCTTACTACTGTTGGTGCTTCCGGATACACAGTCAACATACCTAGTAGGCCATTGTATATTTCGCTACAAATGCTGCTGTCTTCACACGGGTGAAGATGTGTATATCTCATACCAAAACATGTCTCCTGGTCCAGAGCCTTCTTCAGGACAAATGCCTCTAGTGCTCTCGTCTATCCAAACCGCCCACAGCGGCCCCGTTCAACTCTATTACAATATCCGACCCTGTCTCGGTCCGTAACGCCCCTTGCCACTCTCTTCTCATCCTCTCCTTCTCATGCCCTCCGACCCAACACTCTCTGCCCTCCCCAATTCAGCCTCATCCTCCGGCCCCCTCCCCGGAGCCAACACCCCCTCACTGCCACTCCCCCGCCTCCTCGGCTCCTCAAACCTCGTCTCGTCAGAGTCGTCCGCATCTACCCCATGAATGCCGCCACAGCTCTCCATCGTAAACGGGCTCGCCGTCGGCCCGTCCAGAACCCCCAACTCATGTCCCGAAAACCGCCGTGGCAGAAGCCACGCGCGGATCGGGATCAGCAGCATGATGAACACGGGGAACCCCACCGCTGCCACGGTCTGCGTGATAGCAAACGTCGCCCCGAAGCCCACCAACTCGATCGCGACAAACTCCCACACCGCCCGCCGCCGGATCTGGTTCAGCGGGTGGTTCGGCGGGGTCAAGTTCTTGTCCTTGAGCAAGAACAGGATCTTGAGCGTGATGCCGTTGCCCTCGAGCGCCTGCACGCCCATCACGAAGAACAGCCCCGCCAGCACGCCGTGCGGGATGAGGTGCAGCACGACCAGCAGCGGGCCCGTCATCGTGCCGAGCGTCAACAGGCCCTGCGCCAGATTCGACACGCGCTGCTCCACCACGTGAGAGGCCTTTGTGACATGTTTCCCGGTAAGCTCGCCCTTCTCGTCGACTTCCGCTTCGGACTTGCGCACGGTGAGTGACTCGGTGTGGAAGGGCGCTTGCGGGATGAGGCCGTTGGGGAAGGGCAGGCCCAAGATGCCTGCGACGCCTGTTGTCAGGCCGAGGAGGAAGAGGTCCCAGTGGAAGCCTGCTGGTTTCCGGAGGGGGAACTCGGTGCCTTGGGCGATGAGGGACGAGACTTTTTGGTCAGGTCAGTCACGATCTTCTTCTGATTCAGGGGCAAGGGAGTTATTTACCGTTGTGGTCAAACCAGAACAAAATGGTGAGCAATATTGCAAACGGAAGCGCGAGGAATACGTCTCCGACGGGGATATCCCAAAAGTGTACGAGCCAGCCCCGGTCCGCAGTCGGCATGAAGGCGATGCCCGTCGGGAGGACCTCCAAGTCGATCGGCTTCATCCGGCCAATGTGCACGAACCCGGTGAAGAAGATGAGGGTGAGTGGAGTGCCGTAGTCCTTGAGGAAGATGCGCACATGGTGATGGAAGAGGCTGCTGCCACCAAGGCCGGCGCAGACGTACGCAACCATGAAGACGAGCAGCGAGGCGACGATCGACAGGTAGAACGGCTCGGCATCACCCAGGCGCTCGAGGACCTGGATGCCTTTTTGGAGGTAGATGAAGGCGACGTAGAAGCCGAAGATGTCGCAGGGGAAGCGGGTCACGTAGCGCAGCCAGTTGCAGGAGTTTGTTATCGCGAGGATCCAGTGGAGGATGAGGGACCATCTGTTGTTGGGTGTCAGTTGGCATTACGGCGAAGGGTTGCACTTGGATTACGTACATTCCAATCCAGCACATGAAGGCCAGGTAGTTCACTCCCGTGGGCTTCATGATGTCGTACACGGTATAGTTGAAAACGGTAATCGGGCCCGTGACGCCGACGATGACCAGAGGTTGGCATGCAAACACGGCAAAGACAACGGATCCGAGCACCGAGGCTAGTAAGACCTCATTGACGCCGTATGTTGAGCCGGTGCTGGTGAACATGTCGAGGGAGAAGGCCAGGGCTGGGAGGATACTGGGCTCATGTTAGTCTCCATCGCCCTTGAACCCATCTACAACCACAACGGCTATATCTTGACTGTTGTTGTGACAAGTAAAAGGCAATCGCTATGAAACTCATGGGGTTCGCGGCAGACACACCACGAAACGAGCTGGAATACGTACTTTGCAAAATACATGTATACGGTCGCCGGCACGACACGATAATCCCACGCATCGAGCCAATCGCTGACGTAAAAGGGCGCCCGGCGCCGCAGGTCGTTCACCATACCGCGAAAGAGCTGGACCTTCCACCATCCGGAGGAATGCCCGCGTCGGCTACTGCTGCCATGCTGGCTTGTGGTTGTCGTCGGCCCGGGAAGTGGCTCGACTGTCTTTTCGTCCGTGTTGGGCGCCATTGTAGACTGCCACAGGCGAGCTTCGCCTTTCCTTCACCGTCTATGGGTGTGTGTAAATGCGCAAACACCAAATGGAAAATATAAAGAGCAAAAAGTATCAAGAACGATTAACGATGCGCAAGTCGTACCCAACGGGTAATCATGTCGAAGAAGGCACAAATCCCTCCAAAGTAGAAAAGTAGATGACGACGTTCGAGGTGTAGAACTGGACCTGGGCTTGGCTAAGGTCGGCCAGGTGTGGGTGGGTGGTTGTTGTATTTAAGAATTGGTATGGACTGATGGATCTGCCTAGGACAAGGTAGGCCGAGACAAGCACTTCTGAAGCGCACTTCCGTCCGGGGGAGATTTGATGAAGAGGTATCCGTATTTGATTTCAGGGTGGATGCGACTGCGACCTGCCGACATGCAAAGGACCATAAGAAGCACAACAGAAGGAGAGGGCCAAAGGGGGAAAATCCAGTTGCAAGGGCAAAATCGTTGAGAACCTCGCAGGGAAATGATGTGAGCGGGAATACAGGTTCCAGACTCGAGAGTTCAGAAGAGGCAATAAACCAGGCACCCCCAAATGGAGAAAAGAGTCGGCCCCGCCCGATTGGAACTCTGGCAAGGTATGTTTGTTTTCCTCGTCAAAATTGACTCGTCTAGACCAGCACTGCGGCGGCGGCCTCGCTGTATCTTCTCGTCAAATCAGTGTTGCGATGAGAGATTCGAAGCCAAACCACTACGGATGCTGTAGAACGAAGGTGAAGAAATGATGACGGCGTCGCAAACCCCAGCGGCCGTCGCCGTCACCGCTTCCCACCACCCCCAGAAACACCGAGTCAAGAACCGTCTTAACAAGTTCGCCACGTGCATATGCCGCTGCAGTAATCGTAGATTCCGCACCGCAACCCTCCTCGGAAATGCGACGGCCACAGATATGCCATTGGTCAATACACAGCATCCCCCGCAGAATTCTGCTTGGGCAGAATGTATGTTGACATCCTGACCCCATTCCACCCAATCACCTCTCTTAAATGGCAATGTGGGTCTCCACTCGGGACCAAAATGTCTGAGCCGAAGAGAAAGCGAAAGAGAGACTCTTGATAATGAGAACTGTTCATGTCGCAAAGAATCACTCGACATCTCTGTCATTGTTCGTTTGTCAAGAAGCTGG